TCGGAGGAGGACGGGAGCAAGGTTTGGAGAAGGTCGCCGGGAAGGACTGAGGCTCAGTTAGGAGGCAGAGGGTGGCCGTCATGTGACCCATGTCCTCCTGGTTGGACAAAGACGAGATGTTGGTTGCAAACGTGTTGATACGATGACGTGCTACCCAGTCGCTAACTGCCTTGTCTTGAGACCACACGATATCTGCTCCCAATGGCATTGATACCGGGTCCAAACAAGTTGATACCACGTCAGTATCACACAGGTTAGGAATGAAAATGCTGAGCTCAGACCTAAGTAAGCACGTTGACACTGCATGTGATAAATGATAAATGGAATTGGAATTTTACCCGTCGTGCCTGAACACCAATGCTCTTGGCGTCCTGCAGCCGTTGCTTATGAGACATTTTGACCAGACGGATGTCGTCCTCGTCCACGTACGACACACACAGGATGCACTGAAACGCACGCAAAGACACAAACGTGGTACGCAAACATGCCACTTGAAATGTGGGACATGATGACACAAAACACGTCAAACCTCCTTTTTGTCTGGGATGGACTCCACTTTCCTTTGAGAGTAGTTCTGTCCCTCCTCGGCCGCGTAGCAGCTTGTTCCGATCAGCCAGTCAAGCAGAACTGTCGTCTGCAAGGACACAGTTGGCGCATCAAACGATGAGCGCGTGGCTGCTCGCTTGACATGTCATACAAGGCATTCATCACAACAATTTTCACTTCTTTTGATGCAGCCCAACAACATATTGATAGTGAGTCATATCTGTTGTAACATGCGGTGGTGTGGAAACCAGGTGTGTGTACCAAGGGGCGGTATATTGATACCAGCTGGAACACACTGATGCCAAATAGAAACGTGTTGATACCTGTAAAATTCAGGCCTGAGTGCATTGATGCGAGGGGGAGTGTGTCGCTACAAAGTCATACCGGGGGTGAAGCGGTTGACCCCACGTTTGAGCTGGTCGTTAACATTGAAACCAATTGATACCGGGTGGGATTCATGTCGATATTGGGTGATGCTTTGTGTGAGGTGAGCTTACCAGAGCGTAGTAGGACAATGTAGAGCCGATGTAGATAATAAGTTGAATGAAGCTGAACTTTCCCGCCTGGAAGAACAATGTACCTTATCAAACCAAGGCAACGACAATATAAAACGTACAAGTAATAACAACCGTGACCTGTCCGAAGACCATGATGTCAAAGCGAATGCCAAAAGCTTTGTAAAGCGTCCTCTCCTCCACGCCATCCACCGTCTTGTACTTTGCAAACCTGACATTCATTTGACAAACATGAATCGTCACGGCCAGGAATGGTTGACCCTTGAATGGTACCTGAAGTTGAATCCGGGGGAGAGGGTCTTGTTGCTTTCTTTCTGGTCCAGGCGTCTGAAAGAGTAGGCGGGCAGGCAGCGTCTGGTCAGATGATCCAAGTCGCAGTCCCACTTGATCTGAATGCCTATCACGCCCCCCTGGGGACCCCAAGTGTGCAGGTCAGTTGGCAACACTCGTGTGTGACTTTGTTCGGACCAGCAACAAATGTGTTGCTATCAACATACACGGCGATACCAATTGATATCTGGTGCAAACATGATACCAGCAGTGACAATACCAGTCGGACGGGACAATACCAGTTGATACCCGGTTCACACTGTCGCCCCCAGATGATGGCTGGGGTGTCAGTTTGCCGGTACCAAATGATACCGGGTGTCGAGTGTCGATACCAGCAGTGGCAATGTCGATACAACATGTGCTCTGTTGATACGTGTCACACATCGATACCTGATGCTACTGCTGTGGAAGTGCACGCACGGTAATACTCGGCGTGACAATGTCAAAACGGAATGGTACCAGCGGTGCTGTTCGCACCTCCACCGCCATGGTTGAGAAGTTCTCCCCAGCCCGGTTGACGACGTCTCCGAGCATGAAGATCGGACACAAAGAGTCGTTAGCGTGCTGACATTTGCGCAGGTACGACTCGGTCATCTCAGGTAAGATGTTCCTCCTACCAGATAGACCACGACATACGTGATAGCGACAGATAAACCTGTTTGATCAAAAACGTGTGCGTTGGAATGTCACCTGATGAAGTTGAAGGCGGGAAAGCGGATGTTGTTCTTGATGAGCACTGTGAACTTCTCTGCGGATGCCAGTAGAGCAGGCCTGCATGCGCACACACATACATGCAGGCATCCACTACCATGACACATAACATTTAGCACAGTAGGCTAAAGGTTTCTACTGAGTCCTATTAGCATGCTAGCCCACATGTTTATTACTGGCCTACATGCTCACTACTGTGTCCACTTAGCATTCTCTATTGACCTGGCAAGCCTACATGGAGAGCAGCGCATTTCTCACTGTAGCATTCAGCAGTGCTATAGAAAAGATGGAGAAGCTGCCCACGCGGACCTTGGAGGCTTGTTTTTGGCTTCGACGGGACACCAGCCCACCACCTCACACGTTCGGGCCAACGCGTCAAACTTGACGCACGAGCCCGTCTGGATCCCTAGCGGAGGTCGCAAGGGGAGCGTTTGATGACGTCAACTTTTGATGATGTTACATGAAGAAGTAAAACCAAATTACCGTGACTGCGCTGGTCCCAGGCCCCTCGCTCGCAGTCGCTGTGATGTTGACACTGACGGCCACTTGAGGGAGGCTGAGAGACGAAATGTCAGCTTTGTTGTCATGACAGTGATGTGAAGATGAGTGGCCGAGACGACACGTCACTATGATGACGCGGTACCTCGGGGCAACGTCCTTGCTTCTGGTTCTTGGTCATGATGATGTTTGTAACCACAAAGAAAGAGTTTTTGTCCTGAGACGACAACAGAGAGTGTCTGTGTGTGTGTGAGAGAGAGAGGTTGCCACCACAAAGGTGGGAACAATGAAGTCTGTGTTCAAAGAGGTTACACAGAAGAGGCGCACATGAATTTGTTTGAAAAGGCCCCCCACAGCCAGTTTAACGTGGCAACATGAAATTTGGTCGGCATGTCTATCATGAGTAGTGCCGCAAAAAAAGTCTTGACATGCTCCAAAACACACACGAAGTGTGCTATTCACACTCATAATTAAACCTGGCCACAATTTAGAGTATGAAATGAACCCATCATACACAACGCATGTTTGTGCTCTGACCTGCAAGAAGCCGCTGTAGTCAGCCTCGTCCCAGATGACGGCCCCTTCGCCAGGTAGCTGCATGTGGGCCACACCCTTCACCTTGGCAGTCACGGAGCTGACCACCTGATCAAATTGTTGATACTTTCTGTTCCACAACATCACCAGGCTAACAACAAAAACAACAACACTTATTTTGGCAGTTAACCCGCAAGTGAGCATGATAGCATCCCTCTATCCATTTAGCATGCCAGCCTTTATGTTCACACACACACACACACACCAGCATACAAACTTGAAATATGTAAATTGGGAAACATTCATTATCCACTTTATGGGGTCAAAAAGCTATCCTAATTGACTTGCAAATAAAATACATTAAAAAAAAAACTTTGACAGTGTTGGTGCCAACCAAATCGTCGAAATTTCAAAACAAATATTTTTTCAAAAGCTGCTGTTAAAAAGGACAATATGAATGATGATAACAGAAAATAATTTAAAATAGTACGAATAAAAAGACTTGAAAGAGTACAGTGGGACGTCACCATATGAAAAGCAGCACCGTTGCGTTCAGGGTCCACTTGAGCGAGCCCAGCCGGACGCTGTGGATGCGGACGAGTTTGGTGGTCTCGTAGCTGCAAAGCGCGACCATCTTGCAGCTGCCGACCAAATTTCTTTGACCAAAACCATGAAACAGTCGCCTGTGTTGTTCTCACGTGCCCAGGTCACGTGGCCTCATTTGGTTGAAAAACCGCAGCTGTGAAAAGTTGGTTTGGAAAAAAATGTTTTTTTTTTCTTTTTTATATGACGTAAACATGAGGGGTTTTGAAATAGTTTTGTGAACTGTTTTAATGTTTGCTATCGTGAAAACAAAAATACACGAAAAGTCAAAAAAAGAAGAAAGAATGAAATGGTCAAGTGAAAACAGTGGCACCTAGAGGTTTTGAGATGTAATTACTGGCCGTGTCATCTGCTGTATTTAAATATGGATATAAACTGCTGTGCTGTATAAGTGTTCCCTTTATTTTTGGGATCCCCCGCCAAAAAAAAAACAATAAAACACTAAGCACAGATTCTTCTCCTTTGCCGAATGTCATGACCAAAAAACGCTGAAAACAATCCACATCGTGTCTACACTACGTAACAACTAACAGATGATTAAAAAATATTGAAAACAAAGATCATTCGTGAGGTATAACAACCGGCTTTGACAAATATTATTTTAGATTTATTTATTATATCGTAAGCCTAATAGCGTAATTACCCCATTTTGGAATGCTTTTGGAAAAAAGAAATATCATATAAAAATGAATTAAACCAGAAGAATCCAGATGCTGTACCGTGGCCTGGATGACACAGACATAGAAAAAACACAAAATTCAATTTTTATACATAAAAAAAAAAAACAACAACAACAAAAACCGATCAGGGTAACAATTAACAGAAACCTGTTACATGTTGAAGTTTTGTATACAGCGCACAGCCAAAACTGTGCCATCTAACTGTATGATCATCATAAGTCTTTCAAAAATAGTTTGTTTCTTTATTATTTTGACATTCACAAGAAAGTTTTCTTGAATTTGTCCTTGAAGATTTGGGGCAGTCCTGCCTCACGCAGCGACTGAGGCACGCCGCCGCTCGTCATGATGGCGGCATTGGCCTCATCGAAGAGTGCAACGCCAACCTCCTTCTTCACACGCTCGCACCACGCAGACAGCTTGGGACGCCCTGAGAACACGTCCACGCCACTGCTCACTGGCTAAACACAACACAAAATATCAAATAATAAGACTATGATAACAACGACAAACAGAAAACCATGAGATGGAACAACAGAAAAATCTATTTCCACTGGAAACCTCGTTTGCTATTTAGAAAGTTAGGTAGCCAGATTATTGCTCAAGTTCGTGAGCAAGTTGCCTAGTCACCCAGTTCGGTAGCTAGTCAGATACATATTTAGTGAGCTAATTTGTACATTCGGTCAATTAGCTAGCCAATTAGTTAGCCAGTTGGTGAGCTAGCCAATAAGTGTTATTCATTTAGTTAGTGTGTACACTTATGTCACATAGCTAATTAGTGACAAAATCAGTCAGGTCGAGGGGTAGCCCTCGTGCCATTAGTTAGTTAGTTAGCTAAAGAAAAAAATATTTTGTGTCAGCCTGCGCTAGCCAATAAGTGTTATTCATTTAGTTAGTGTGTTCACTTATGTCACATAGCTAATTAGTGACAAAGTCAGTCAGGTCGAGGGGTAGCCCTCGTGCCATTCGTTAGTTAGTTAGCTAAAGAAAACATATTTTGTGTCAGCCTGTTTCCTCTGGGTGCCAGGGCTGGCCCACCACATCCAGCAGATGGATCTGTCATGGCAAAAGCCGACTGCATGTGTCAGTTGTTCGGTATTGTGGCTCCGTCACCTGCATGATCTCAGCCACGGCCACCAGGTCAGCCAACGAGATGGAGGCGCCACACAGGAACAACTTTTCACCCAGGAAATACTTGTCCAGCACGTCCACAGTCTGGCTCAGTTCCTCCACGACTCGCGCGCGCGCGCGCGCACACACACACACACACACACACACACACACACACACACACTTTGGACTGTATGGATTTTTTTTGTGCAGTAGTAGGTGTGTTTATTTCTCTTGTGCAAGATCGCGGTTATCGTGAATAACTGTTGGGACACTTTACACATGATTGTGCGTGCAGTGGATTTGCCGGGACTTTGACCAAAAAAAAAAATTGACCCCCTCCAAAAAAAAAAAAAAAAAAACCCACAACAAATTTAAACGAACTAGCTGGTTTTCTAAATGACTTGAGTACATACCTAACCCGCTAACTAACCAACTGACCGATTCATTTGCCATCTTAGCTAAGTGACGTCAGTAATAGACTAAATAGATAGCTAACTGATTACATTAATAAGTAGTTTTATTTTTGTTAGCGACCTACCGAAGTAACTAGTCAACAAAGCACATAGCTATCTAAGCTAGCAAACAAGCTAACTACCGCTAACAACAATTTTAGTGCGCCTTAGTGAGGACCCGCCTCCATGTTTTTGTTGTGTGTACGTCTTTATTGACATGAATTACAGGAAGTGGTTCATACCCGTACATATAAAGCGGAGGTAGAAAGAGAAGTGTTAAACGGGTAGTGGCGGCGCCCTACCTTGAGCAGGAAAACCTTTGACCCGTGGGCTCGCAGGTTCATCTGCTGCCAGGACAAATACTCATTGACCCGCGCCCGCTGCCGCAGATCAGCCGGATACCAGTGGTCAGGAAGGCGGGATGCGTGCTTCTCAGCCAAGTACTGAAGGATGGCCACACTGGAAAAAGCAACATGAGCTACTTTCACACAACTTCCCGATCAGCGCATTGAGGTCCAAGGCGGGTGGCGGTGGTAGCGCGGCGGTGGCTCCGAATTTAAACATTGTATATTTTCTTTGAGAAGCGGGCCTCTTAGACTATCTCGAAAGTGGGGAAATTCTCAGGCTCACCTTGTCGCCATCATTGCATGTGGGTACCTTTCACAAAATGATGAACAGGTGACTTGAATTAATCGTCTGAAAGAGGGCTCACGTCCGACGCAAATCTTCACACCCGCGTTTTTGGCTCTCTGCTTTCTCCTTTCCCGCGTCACCTTTCACACTCTCACTGCTGTTTCGCCCCCTCCCCAAAAAACCCAGCAAATTGCTTTAAGCCGTCGATTTCTTGCCGGCACTTTGCACTCGGAAGGATGACAAAATGGGACTTGGATATAAGCAGTGTGAAAAGTGTCAATTTCGTCTCACACAGCTTTTCAGGCCAGTGTGAAAGGGTCTTGTTGGCTGTTGAATCTTCACACACCCCGTTGGGGTTGGCCACCCATTTTGGCTCTATGCCTTGTACGCAGCGTTTAAGGGCAGTGTGAAAGGGTCACACCCCTTTTCTGGTTTTCCACTACTCGCATTCACATAATCACCACTGTGAATCATTGTCCCCACATTCATTGTCGGTACCTTTCACGCCGCCTCGAGAGTGGTGTGAAAGCGTCTAATCTCGGCTGTTAATCTTCACACGGCGTACTGGTTGTCTCCTCTTCCCTTTCACATGGTCACCCCTTAGATGCCGATGAAAGCATTTTTGGATCGTAGTCCCGCCCACCCCCATTCTGTGCCCAGTACCTTTCAAACTGAGAAAACGTGCGCTTATTCCAAAGTTCGCTTTTACCTCTCCGTCAGGACAAAGTCGCCGTCCTTCATGACCGGAACTTTCCGTACCGGGCTGATCTTCCCAAACTCTTCGCCATACTGCTCCCCTTGCATGCACACACACACACAGCAAAACAGTTCTTTGCATGGCCGGTGACTTTACGCCAAGTCAACATGTGCGTCTGTGCGCGTGTCTACCTTTGGCCAGGTCGACCAGCTTGAAGTCGAAGGGAATCGCGTTCAGCTTGGCGAACATGAACACGGAGCGGCACGGCTGCGAGCGAAGATCCAGATACAACTCCATCTTGACTGACTTGACAGCACGGGCGCTGTCCGCGTGTTGTTTTTGTGGCGCAAGTGAGGCACGCCCCTTGTCAAGGCCCCAGTTTCGCCCACCCCCCCTTTCCGGAGGCGGAAACGGGGCAAAGGTTTCATCAGGGTGAAGTCTACATCGTCCCAAAGCCTTTTTTTCTTCTTGGCGGCGATTGAACGCAGGTCACTTTCAAAAAGCTGCTGACCTTTCCAGATGAAACATACTCGCTGCATAATCCATCATATGAGCTACATTGCCTACCATATACGCACTGCTACACATCACCTTACATGAGAAACTTGATCCTTTGCGGGTGAACTTAGTTTGACTTCGTTTAAACCTTTGGACGCAATGTGGCAAGTCGGGCGGCCAAAGTCATGTGACATACACTTGAAAACAACCACCGCTGTATACAAAGTGCTGTACGTGGAGCAAATATCATATATAAAACAATAAATGCAGAACAAAGACAGTCGAAAGCCCCAAAACAGTCAAACTAAGATCAAGTCTGAGTCATGCCGAGTCAAAATCCAAAGAATACAAATCGGTTTTGCGATGAATTTGAAAGCTGGGCATCGAGGGGGCTTGCCGAATGTTCAGTGGGAGGTCATTCCAAAGAGGGGGAGCGGCAACGGAAAAGCCTCCGTCCCCTCTCAGGTTATGTGGCGCATGTTTATGTGGGAAATGGATATGGAAGTCGTGACCTGTTAAGTCACGTGACCTATTTCTCATCAGAATTTCTGCAACGTACGGGACAGGTATCAAACTCAAGGCCCCGGGGGCCAGATGCGGACTGCTGCCTCATTTTATATATAGAGAGAGAAAGGCTAGCATCATTTCAGTGTTTGCAGCTACCAGTGGTGTCTTTTCTCGGGGAAACCAGGTCAAAGTGGCTCTTTTGAGTGTCAAATGTTGCCGAGCCCTGCTCGAAAGAAATGAGAACAGTGTGACCTGTGTGGTTTTTCCGGCTATCTAATGCTCAAAACACACACTTCTCATTCCACACACTTTTTTTTATGGACCATACCTTCCATCAAAATGACACCTTCCACTTTCAGAGACATGTTTTTGCACATTTTCAAGCTCGAAAAGTCTCACTCAGCAGGCGGAGCACTGACATGTGTTTCCAGTTAACAACCGTGTTGTGAAAACCCCCCTGGAGACATTGATCAGATTGCTTGCACTCAGTCCGTACGTGCGTGCGCACGCAAGAGTGCAAAAGAGGAAAAGGAGGACGGACGTGCCGTTTGTGGAGGAAATACTTGTGATTCTCCAGGGAGTCAAACACGGACAGGTCACGACGTTGCGTTTCAGAGAGCGCCAGGCCGCCTTCTGAAACCTGCCATTGGTTGTCCATGAAGGTGGGCTTCTCGAGCATTTGGTCAAAATGTGAAGCGCCACGAATGATGCGTTGGGTGTCATTTGGTGCCGTTTGGCTCATTTAGCGTCTCAGCTCGTGACATGTAAGGCAATTTGTGTCGTGTTGCCCTATTTTATTTTGACTTTTTGGGAACGGCGTAAATCTACCGAGGCGGGTGGCGTAACTCGAGAGGTGGGCTGGACCGAGTTTGGTCGGCCGGCGGATCTAACAGTGGGCGGACTGCGCCGATGTGGCCCCCGTTTAGTCACCCGCCAGTCAAAGCAGCTCCATTTTCTGTTACGTAGTCTTATCTGGTGTGGTTTGTCATCTTACTTGACGTAGCGTCATGTCGTGACGTACTTTGACAATTCATTTTGCGGATTATTGTGGAATTTGTCATCGGGTCTTGTATATATAGGTTTGCGCCTTAGTTTCTGCGATTTTTTTTAAACATATGCTGCACGATAGTTTTGTAGTTTGGATGAACTCCTGTATTTTGACAGTTTCTGTGCTTTTATCATCGATTACGTCGTTTTTCCACGCCAGTTTATGAGGTCGTTTCATGACAATTTTGTCATTTGTCAGGGACAGTGACACAGAAGAGTCGGAGGACGGTGAGAAAACACGTGCGTAGTTCTTTCCCAGCGTTGTCTTGATGGCGGCCGCCGTGAACGTGACATGTCGCGTCGTCACGCTTCCTGGTTCGATGGGCGTTGGTGTTGTTCCGGCAGGTTTGCGGCTTCATTTTAGGAGTTCAGAAGGAGAACGTACGAGCTGATCGATCACTGTGAAGAAGAACAACGACGTGACATGAAAAAGGATATCCACACAAATAGGCCAAAAAACAAAACAGTGCTAGTTTTCAGTTGCAAGGCACGAAGTCCTTGTCCTGAGAGAAGCTTCGAGTCTCAAGTGAAGAAGGTACGAGCCCCCCCCAGCCAAGGTTTCAAAAGATTCTCATTCTGAGAAAGTCCGGTCCCGAGTAAAGGGTCTCGTCCCCAGCTATGGTTGTAGTCCAGAAAGAAGGTTCCAGTCCCGAGAAGGCATCAGTCCTAAGAGAACGGTCTCGTCCCCATCGAAAATTGTCATCACAAGATATGGGTCTACTCTCAAGAGAAGCCGTGAGTCCCAAAACCACACTCTCATCCCCAAAGAAGCTTCCACTCCGAAGAGACACTTCTGGCCTCAAAAAACGGTTCTCGACCCAAGAGAATGGAGAGACCGGGAGAAGGTGCTCATCCTGAGAGAACAGTCCAGTCCTGAGAGAAGTTTATCGACCCACGATCATGTTCTTATTCCAAGATTTCAGTCTCTAAAGCTGCTTCTAGGCAAAAGATAAGGTTTGAGGCCCAAGTGAAATTGTAGTCCAAAGTAAAAAGCTGTAACCCTGGAGGAAGGTTCTCATCAGAAAGAAGTTTCCAGTCCCTGGAAAAGCTTCCAGTCACAAGGTACGGTCGTAGTCCCGGGAAGTTGTCGTCTTGAGAGAAGATTTCAAGAAGGTTCAAGTCCTGATAAACGGTTCTCACTTCAAATACAGATTCCGGTCCCAAGAGAAGCTTCCAGTCCTGAAAGGGCTCTCGTCCCGAATGAAGGTTCTACTTACCAAGGCAAACCTCTAGTCTCGACAGAAGGTTGTAGCCCCAAGTGAAGGTTTTAGTCTCAAGAGAAGGTACTTGTTACCGGACAGGGTTCTGAGAGGAAGTTCTCATCCCAAGAGAAGGATCGAGAACCAAACAAAGGGCTGGAGTCTCAAGAGAATGTTCTAGCCTTGAAAGAAGGTACTGGTCACCTGAGAAAGTTTCAGTCCAGGAGTCCAGGGAAAAGGTTTTGGTCATGATAGGTTTTCATGCCAAATATAGATTCCAGTCCAAAGAGAAGCTTTCGGTCCCCAGTGAAGGTTCCAGTCACGGGAAAGGATTCTCATTGGGAGAACTCCCGACAGAAGGTTGTAGAGCCATATGAAGGCACGAGTCACCAGCCAAGGCTTTAGTTCAGAGGACATTGTAGTCCCGATAGAAGGTTCTTGCCCAAAGAAGTGATAGTAGTCCTGAGAGAAGCGGCAAGGTTCTAGGTCTAAAGCCCGTATCCGACTGCGAGTGGGTTCGTTCAAGTTCGTGAGCGTTTGCCAAGCCCTCTCCAAACTTTCCGGCACCTTCACGAAGACTCGCAAAGGTTCGCTCGACTCGCAGTGAGATTACAGGATCTAGAGAAGGCCTGAGTGGCCACAGGGTACACATGTGCACGTGTATGTCCTGACCTTCCTGCGGATGAGCTTGCGTCTGGGCTTCTTGACAAGCTCTTCCTGGAGGCGGCTGACCTCGCAGTAGAGCTCCAGCTCTCGCTTCTGCATCACGTCCTTCTCCTGCCACAGGGTCATGTTTTCTCCCAGCATGTTTTGCAGCTGATGCATCTTCTCGCTGTTCTGCTCCCGCTCTTGCTGCAGCACCTTGCCCATCTTGTCCTCAAACACCACCTCCATGTTCCTCATGGTCTCGGCGATCATGCTGCCAGGACAACACAGGTTCACACTCCACCCTGGCGACGCAGGAAGCTCGAGGGAGGAAGGGGTGGAAGGAAGGAGTGCTTACTTGGTCTTGTCTCGCTCCGCTTCCTCCTTGAGGCGGCGGACGGTGGCCTCCTGGTCCTGCTTCTGCTTCACCAGCTTCTCCTCCAGAGCCACCAGCTGCCCAGCCTGAGCCTCCAACTTGCCCACTGACAAGAAGGACGCAAAGATACACAACATGTCACTTGGACAAGACTCTGCAGTTTGGACGTCAGTGGCGTGGTTGGTGGTGAGTCGGTCTCATGGCGTTCTGACCTTGCGTGCTGATTTCCCCGTTGAGCTCCTGTATGTGTGCCTCCAGCTGCGCCACCGTGGCCTCCAGCTGCTCCATGCTCTCCTTTTGCCTCTCCGCCGCCTCCTGCTGGCTCTCCACCTGCTCCATCAGCATCTCCACCTTCTTGTCCTTGGCATCCAGCGAGCGTTTCAGGTAGCGCGTCACGTCTGCCTTGTCCTTGCGTAGCACCCGCTGCTCGTACAGCAGGTCCTGCACCTGGTTCTCCAGCTCTTCACATTTGTTCTGACAACTGGCAGAAAAGAACATGTCAACGCTGCACGCTAACTACCAAATGTACGTCAATGGTTCTGCAACACATGAGCAACGCAGATTATGGTCTACTTCAAGGACGGTCTCCCGAACCACGGCGGTCACTTTGTAAATTGGAACGCTTGTGTACTTGTTCAATTCACGCCCCGGACTGCCACCTTTTTCCGTCACAGCATTTTGGGATCATTTCCTTGTCAAGCCTTTACAAGTATCCCACTGATGCATCTTTGGTTCAAGCGAGTGAACAAGAACCTCCGTTATTCCGCGAGGGATGCATTTTCTGACATGTTACGACCTAAACCAGTGACTGAATCATAATCCATATTTGTTTGTGTGTGTGTTTCTCCACTGTTAAATCGAAACGAGGGAAGTATTTTTCTCAACTCCAATTCATTTACTTAGAAGAAAAAAAAATCAACAGATGAATTGATTATTAAAACTTATTACTTGCAGACCACCTTCTAGAAGCGTCTTCTGGATTTGTTATTTACATTTAACAACCTTTCAAGCCCAAATAGAAGCTACAATGCTGAACTTAAGTTAGGTTTTTTTGGAAAACGCCCCACAGAAAAGCTCACAGGCTACCCTGCAAACTAGCATTGTTGTCTATGAATGATCTTACTTCTCCAGCTGCTCCTCCAAATATCGTATTTGTGTGAGAAACAACTTGTCCCCGTCCAAAAGCTCGGTGATTTCGGCCGCCATGGTTAATAGTTTATTGAGTTTTTTTATTTAATTTCCTTTCAATTGATTATTGTCTGAAATGAAAACTCAGGATGTGACAAGCAGGCAGAGGAGCTGAGCGGTGCTGCCTTTTGGCACCTCTCGAAAAACCTCAACTTTGACCAGACATTCGGCTCATACGCATGGTTAAATCAAATTCTAATGCCGCCCCCCACCCCCACCCCCCGCGTCGGACCGGAACGTCGCGTCACTGCTTTAAACAAGAGACGAGACGTCACAGTCAGAGGAGTTCTCCTTTGTCAACGTGGTTTGTTTGCACTGGTGCTAACGGCCACTAGATGGCGTTCTCGCTCTTCTCGATGGCTTCGTAAGGGGGTTGTTTAAGACCGGAAGTTCCTGATTGCGGAGGAGCCGAGAAAAGGGCGGAAAGTCGGTGTAAGTCACACACGGAATTAATCATTATTAACTTGACAAATAGAACATACTTTATTGGCTACAATCTAATCTTATACCGTCGATTATTCTCGAGCACAAATCAAGTCAAATGTTGTAAAGCTATTCACAGTTATCGTGTGGATCATATCAGTAACTGGCAGTCTCGTCAGCCATTTTTTCCCCCTGAGAGTCACGACAACATGAAATGTGTGCGTAACTTATTTACCCATCCCTGTGTTTATTCATGTTTTTAGTTAGCGATGTTTTCATACATGCTCAAAGCTGGTGACAACATGGTCATGGAAAGACCACGAATGAATCTGGATTTTTGATAGCATTCTTATGAGTGAACCCAAATCCCTGCAGATGATGGTGTTGCATCGTTTTGGCTTTGAGATCGGCACCGTTTTTGCGTACAATATACATTTTAGGTGCCGAGCCGATTATAAGGGAGAGAAGTGCTAACTAACAGGCTGGCAGTTGTGTCAGTTGAGGTACCCACACACACGAACAGAGTATATTTGTAGTATAAACATTAAGTGTTACCATTACTTCAGTTTAGCAGGGGACCTTCTCCGCCTCTTCTTGCTGTGAATTACACAGCATGTCTTCCTGTAGATCTACTCACTCGAAATCTGAACTTGCCTTTCTGCTGTAAAAACCCATATAAATAAAAAAAATAATAATAAATGCTACAATATACGCAAAGAACCTTGCTATAGTTTAATGACTGTCCCGCTTTTCTTGGTTCTGTGTGAAAGACCTCGGCGAATCAAGAGCGGCTCTTCTTACGTCGCTCAGATTTTCAAGATAGCCTGCAGAAAAGCCCCGTCGATGACCGCGGCGTGACCATCAGGAAGTACGCGACGTTCCTTTGATGTCTCGAATAAAAAAAAAAAAAAAAACCTACGCTGACATCAACAAAAAAAAAACTTCTGATGCTTCCTGAAGATAGGAAGCATAATTCTGCTGCTGCCGTAATTGAGCTCATAGGACATAGGAATAGATTACCACATCGCATAATCAGCGGACACGTGACCTTTGGCGACCTTCCGTTGTGCTTCAGGACCACCCACAAACACCAGCAAACCTTTGATTGGAGTTTTGAGTTTTATGGCGAGACATCACACTGATGCCGTGTTTCCACCGGCGTCGATGGAACTCTTCATAACTTCCATCTGTTGAGTGTAGGTGGTTCAAATTTGGCAGCAATTGGACAAAATATTGAGAAGTCGTCCCAATTTCAATCGCCCCGGTCAAAATAACTGAAATGTTCACGTCAAAGAGTGGCACACTCACTGTCTTTGTCAGGATGGCTTTTATTCACACTCGCCCGCTGGAGGCTAACATTAGCATCTTGTCTCCGCCAATGTTTGTCTTCCGGCCTTCCTGCTCCAAAATCCTTGAACGTCCGCCACAGTTGAGGTTGTACACCTCAAAGATAATGTCGACATTACAAATAAAAGCAGCTGAAGCAACTTTATTTATTTATTTTTTTGCCAGTTGTATGACGTCATGATGTTATCATTGACGTGATTGTATTGCCATCCCGGAGCAGATGCGGGCGTGAAGCGTTTGTGCGGGCCTCCGATGTAAGATAAGTTGCTCCTTTATTCAGCCCGCAATGGAAACATGAACAAAATATGTCGGCCACCATTTAAAAACAAAAACACAAAAAATGGGAAGAAAGAAAAATGGCAGGATTGAGCATTAGCCATTTGGCGCTTCTTTCTCATCGCCCTCAAAGTGAACTCGGCGTCATTTCAAATCCTTTTTACAACATTTGCTGCAATCATAAATGCAGTCAAGGTTTTGTTTGTGCTGATGCATACAACTGCGCCCTGTTATCCTGATACGATTGTTTTATTACTACTTCATTACTATGCCAGTCAGAAGCTCCGTGTACGTTTTTTTTTCCTCCGCAATGTCAGTGTTTTTGGCCACCCCGATTTTAATGCAAATGAGGGACACCGCGTGGATTGACTGGGAAACGTGTACTTCCGTGTTAGGTTGATTGTTTTTAGTGATCATACATTTGCATATTATTAATGATAAATTGATGATGTTTGCGATGAAGAACGCTTATGCTTTTAATCGAAATATAATGCTTTTAATCATTATATACTCACATTTATCATCAAGAATGCTGAGTGCACTGTGTGGCAGTTGAGGGACGCAACCACCTTTTCCGAGGAAGTGGTTGGGAACAGATAAGTATTAAGACTAAACAGGAGCAAGGTCAGACGTGGACGCAACTGTCAACACCAGCTGCAACTTGGGTGTTTTGGTCATGATTGCACACATGTACGTCGTTTTCACTCACATACACACACACATAGACAAACAAGTTCAGTGTGTCTTCAACAGCCCTCATCCTTTAGGTTGGACACACCCATTTATTAGATTGCCAATAAATGAGAATGCGAGCGGGGAGATCTTTGGGTGATGTGCAGAGAACTGAAACCAACGCTTTCCCCCTGGTACCAGAATTGAGTCTCCTGTCTCCTCCTCGTGTTTTATGTCTGAAGGTCAAATTGATGGACCTGACGGCGTCCCACAGCTGCGCAAAACGCCCCATTCAACCCAATCCTACCGGTGCAAAGTTGAGCAAAATACCAAAAGGTTTTTTTTTCTTTTTTTAATCCGTCTATGATAGACACCAAGGGCGCTTTTTTCATGCTAATTTCAAGACAAACTGGTTTCGGGAAGCACTGTCGGCCATGCGTTTTTCGATGTGGCTTTGTCGATCTGTTTGCATTTCCCTTGAAAAGGGGATCTGTGTTGCGTCCCCTCGTCCCGGCTTCCCAGTCAGCGAGTCCAGGTCACGTCCTTCCGCCAAGGCTGCCTTCTTCTCTTAATTGAGATCCTCTGTCGCGTGCTGGAACGCTTCCACGGCCTCGTTTGGAGAAAAAAAAAGGAAAAAAAGGAGTGGAAGCCATGTGTGCAGTGCGTGTGTGTTTACGTCCTGAGACTGAGCAGTGTGGTGCGGCGTGAATCACTTTGGACTTTTAGTTTGAAACGGGAATGTTTTGCGGTGACCATCAAAGTGACTCGAGCCGCAGGCTGGCCTCGTCATAAAGGACTTTACCGCCAACGGTTGTCGGTCCGCAAGTGCCCCTCCATCATTTATTTGTGCCTACGCTTGGCCACACCCGTTAAAGGTGCACGTCCAACGCTCCAGCTGTTTTGCCTTTGGGCTCGTCCAAGGTACAGTCATTACATTTGTCCAATATCATGCTTTTAGATGATGCAGTGCTATTATTTTTTGTAGTGTCTGGGATGGTCGAATTAATTTTATTACCCGCTCATGCCAACCAAATTTCCTGTTGCGAACTGCAACTGTCTTGAGGTCAGATTTTTTTTCCCCTCTAATTGTTGTAATTATGAACGTTTTATGTGGCTTTTCAAAAACGGTGGCAAATTTTGAGGGCTGCAACAAAGTTCCTGCTATTTCAACTCAGCAATGGGGATTATTGATTTGAAGCACAAGGAAATGGAGTCAATTGGCTTTCCAATCTTATTGGGAACTCCTGCTTGGCACACAGACCGCTGCCGACTGCCCCCGCTGCTGTTTGGCGAAACGGAATGGTGGCCGTTGCGAGACGAATGAAGACCGGTTGTATTCCATCGCAAGCTTTCAAAGGTTTCATTTCTCGCTGCGGTCGGCACTTTTTATCGACGGTTCCTTTTCAAGCGCGCTCATGAAAGCCGAGCGCCCGCGTGCTCGTATTCGCGCTTGTAATTACACGAATGATTTCAATGTGATTCACAGAAGGGTTTTTTTTTTTTTCCCCCGCACGATGTGGTCACAAAGGCCCCGCTTGCAACCCCCTACCCGTGACACCCCCCCTGGCCCCCGAGCCCCACTTTTATGTCCCAGCTGCAAAAATAAAAGTTCCCCTTATGGAAACGTGATCATGCTGCTTACTCACATCAAGAAGTGATTGATGTCGGCTTTTCTATCGAGACACCAAGACACACACACATAAACACGTATATGGATAGATTAGATCTTCACACATGATTGAAGCATTTTTTGTTCCATGAGCTAAAAGTATCAAATATACAGTGACAATACAACCAAAGGTTCCTGGAACTTCAGCTGGAACTAGTAACTTTCATTTTATCTTCGCGCCGTGGAAATATATTATCTTAATTTAGTTCTGGGGCAATTTGTTGGGGCCAAAAGAACATCCTACATGTGAGGGGTGTACTTTTTGAGAGGTCCAGAAACTTTTGGAGAAAGACTTTGCTTTCTCGCAGTACCGAGAACCCACGTGTTGCCCGAGAGGGCGGTGTGAAATGTCAGTTTTCCCTGTGGTCACATTTGATTTGTCAGTCCCGTTCGGTGTCGCCTTGAGGACAGCCGGAAGTCATTTTTAGCCCCATCCACCAAATATCTATCTCTCCATGTAACCAGCCCTCCCCCCACTCTTCTCTCTCTCTTTATTTTTTTATTCAGGGACAGTCTGCAAAAAGTATTTCAGTGCCAGAACAGTGAAGTCGCGTTCGGAGTTGGGGCGAAAGTGCCGTCGCGCGTTTGGCACGCAGGGGGTTAACCGTCACGTGGTGCCGACCGAGAAAAGTGCGCGCGTGTGCGTGTTTATCTGCGTGTGTGTGTGTGTGTGTGTGTGTGTGTGTGTGTGTGTGTGTGTGTGTGTGTGTGTGTGTGTGTGTGTACGGTGGCCCGTGGAGAACAAAGAAGCGTCGAGGCGGTATTTAAAGCGGAGGAAGTTGGTTGCTGACGACTCGGAGCAGCGGGCAGGCGCGCGTCACGACGAGCAGCAGCTGGCCGAGATGCGGACGAGCGCGCACGCGTCCGGCGGCCTCCTCTGCCGGTGGCTCCTCATCCTCACGCTCGCCGAGTGCGCGCGTGCCGCCGCTGCCGCCGGCCGCCACCACCACCACAAAGCCTCGCCGGTGAGCTGCTGCTGTTTGTGTGTTCTTTGGACACGACTTGCTTCCTTTCGCACTTGTCGTGGTGTTGGAGTAGGCGCGCGTGCACGCGCAAACGCGCGATACGCGTGGAGCGTGCTTTTGTGTGTCTGTGTGCGCGTGCCTGCGTGTGTGTGTGTGTGTGTGTTTTGGAATTTTGTTGACTTCCTCCTTTTGTTTGTGTGCTTTTGAGTGCCTCCTACAGCCGAGGCGCCCCACTCACGCCTTGTTGACGCCACGCTCTTCATGACGATCCCTCCGCGACCCGAGCGTTGAGCCTCAAGTGTCACTCGAATGAGTCACTTTTGGTTTTTGTTGTTGTTTTTTTCTTTCAGCACGAGTGAAAGCTTGCCTCCGTGTATGCACGAGTCCTCCAGGTACAGTACATTCATGTACGATGACAGTGTTTCTTGTTTGACAAAAAAAAAGGAGCGCCTGAGTGAACAGCACCAGTCGAAGTACGACTCCTGGTTGACAATGAAACCCTTGGATTGCTTCTGATAATGAAAAACGGAAAGAATGTGAAATCTTTAGTTGATGATATTTAATGCTATTTTTCACTGACAATGTTTCTTGATAAGCACAGGGGAATTAGCTCAAATGGTAGAGTGAGTGCGAAGCATGCGAGAGGTCGTGGAATCGATTCCCGCATTCTCCATTTGGCTGTATGTTCTTGGCTTTCGGGTCGTTGATGATACTTACAAATTTTTTTCACTGCCATTGGTTCTTGTTGAGCACAGGGGACTTAGCTCAAATGGTAGAGCGCTTGCTTAGCATGCGAGAGGTAGCGGGATCGATACCCGCATTCTCCATTTGGCTTTCTGGTGGATGATGATATTTAACGCTATTTTTCACTGACAATGTTTCTTAATGAGCACAGGGGAATTAGCTCAAATGGTAGAGCGCTTGCTTAGCATGCGAGAGGTAGCGGGATCGATACCCGCATTCTCCATTTGGCTTTCTGGTGGATGATGATATTTAACGCTATTTTTCACTGACAATGTTTCTTAATGAGCACAGGGGAATTAGCTCAAATGGTAGAGTGAGTGCGAAGCATGCGAGAGGTCGTGGAATCGATTCCCGCATTCTCCATTTGGCTGTATGTTCTTGGCTTTCGGGTCGTTGATGATACTTACAAATTTTTTTCACTGCCATTGGTTCTTGTTGAGCACAGGGGACTTAGCTCAAATGGTAGAGCGCTTGCTTAGCATGCGAGAGGTAGCGGGATCGATACCCGCATTCTCCATTTGGCTTTCTGGTGGATGATGATATTTAACGCTATTTTTCACTGACAATGTTTCTTAATGAGCACAGGGGAATTAGCTCAAATGGTAGAGTGAGTGCGAAGCATGCGAGAGGTCGTGGAATCGATTCCCGCATTCTCCATTTGGCTGTATGTTCTTGGCTTTCGGGTCGTTGATGATACTTACAAATTTTTTTCACTGCCATTGGTTCTTGTTGAGCACAGGGGACTTAGCTCAAATGGTAGAGCGCTTGCTTAGCATGCGAGAGGTAGCGGGATCGATACCCGCATTCTCCATTTGGCTTTCTGGTGGATGATGATATTTAACGCTATTTTTCACTGACAATGTTTCTTAATGAGCACAGGGGAATTAGCTCAAATGGTAGAGTGAGTGCGAAGCATGCGAGAGGTCGTGGAATCGATTCCCGCATTCTCCATTTGGCTGTATGTTCTTGGCTTTCGGGTCGTTGATGATACTTACAAATTTTTTTCACTGCCATTGGTTCTTGTTGAGCACAGGGGACTTAGCTCAAATGGTAGAGCGCTTGCTTAGCATGCGAGAGGTAGCGGGATCGATACCCGCATTCTCCATTTGGCTTTCTGGTGGATGATGATATTTAACGCTATTTTTCACTGACAATGTTTCTTAATGAGCACAGGGGAATTAGCTCAAATGGTAGAGTGAGTGCGAAGCATGCGAGAGGTCGTGGAATCGATTCCCGCATTCTCCATTTGGCTGTATGTTCTTGGCTTTCGGGTCGTTGATGATACTTACAAATTTTTTTCACTGCCATTGGTTCTTGTTGAGCACAGGGGACTTAGCTCAAATGGTAGAGCGCTTGCTTAGCATGCGAGAGGTAGCGGGATCGATACCCGCATTCTCCATTTGGCTTTCTGGTGGATGATGATATTTAACGCTATTTTTCACTGACAATGTTTCTTAATGAGCACAGGGGAATTAGCTCAAATGGTAGAGTGAGTGCGAAGCATGCGAGAGGTCGTGGAATCGATTCCCGCATTCTCCATTTGGCTGTATGTTCTTGGCTTTCGGGTCGTTGATGATACTTACAAATTTTTTTCACTGCCATTGGTTCTTGTTGAGCACAGGGGACTTAGCTCAAATGGTAGAGCGCTTGCTTAGCATGCGAGAGGTAGCGGGATCGATACCCGCATTCTCCATTTGGCTTTCTGGTGGATGATGATATTTAACGCTATTTTTCACTGACAATGTTTCTTAATGAGCACAGGGGAATTAGCTCAAATGGTAGAGTGAGTGCGAAGCATGCGAGAGGTCGTGGAATCGATTCCCGCATTCTCCATTTGGCTGTATGTTCTTGGCTTTCGGGTCGTTGATGATACTTACAAATTTTTTTCACTGCCATTGGTTCTTGTTGAGCACAGGGGACTTAGCTCAAATGGTAGAGCGCTTGCTTAGCATGCGAGAGGTAGCGGGATCGATACCCGCATTCTCCATTTGGCTTTCTGGTGGATGATGATATTTAACGCTATTTTTCACTGACAATGTTTCTTAATGAGCACAGGGGAATTAGCTCAAATGGTAGAGTGAGTGCGAAGCATGCGAGAGGTCGTGGAATCGATTCCCGCATTCTCCATTTGGCTGTATGTTCTTGGCTTTCGGGTCGTTGATGATACTTACAAATTTTTTTCACTGCCATTGGTTCTTGTTGAGCACAGGGGACTTAGCTCAAATGGTAGAGCGCTTGCTTAGCATGCGAGAGGTAGCGGGATCGATACCCGCATTCTCCATTTGGCTTTCTGGTGGATGATGATATTTAACGCTATTTTTCACTGACAATGTTTCTTAATGAGCACAGGGGAATTAGCTCAAATGGTAGAGTGAGTGCGAAGCATGCGAGAGGTCGTGGAATCGATTCCCGCATTCTCCATTTGGCTGTATGTTCTTGGCTTTCGGGTCGTTGATGATACTTACAAATTTTTTTCACTGCCATTGGTTCTTGTTGAGCACAGGGGACTTAGCTCAAATGGTAGAGCGCTTGCTTAGCATGCGAGAGGTAGCGGGATCGATACCCGCATTCTCCATTTGGCTTTCTGGTGGATGATGATATTTAACGCTATTTTTCACTGACAATGTTTCTTAATGAGCACAGGGGAATTAGCTCAAATGGTAGAGTGAGTGCGAAGCATGCGAGAGGTCGTGGAATCGATTCCCGCATTCTCCATTTGGCTGTATGTTCTTGGCTTTCGGGTCGTTGATGATACTTACAAATTTTTTTCACTGCCATTGGTTCTTGTTGAGCACAGGGGACTTAGCTCAAATGGTAGAGCGCTTGCTTAGCATGCAAGAGGTAGCGGGATCGATGCCCGCATTCTCCATTTGGCTTTGGTGCTTGGTGATATTTAACGCTATTTTTCAATGACAATGTTTCTCGATAAGCACAGGGGAATTAGCTCAAATGGTAAAGCGCTTGCTTTGCATGCGAGAGGTAACGGGATCGATACCCGCATTCTCTATTTGGCTTTCTGGTGGATGATGATAATTTAACGCTATTTTTCACTGACAATGTTTCTTGTACAGCGCAGGGGAATTAGCTCAAATGGTAGAGCGCTTGCTTTGCATGCGAGAGGTAGTGGGATCGGTTCCCGCATTCTCCATTTGGCTTTGGTGCTTGATGACATTTAACGCTATTTTTCACTGACAATGTTTCTTGATAAGCACAGGGGAATTAGCTCAAATGGTAGAGCGCTTGCTTAGCATGCAAGAGGTAGCGAGATCGATGCCCGCATTCTCCATTTGGCTTTGGTGCTTGATGATATTTAACGCTATTTTTCACTGACATTATTTCTTGGTGAGCGCAAGGGAGTTAGCTCAAATGGTAGAGCACTTGCTTCGCATGCGAGAGGTAGCGGGATCGATACCCGCATTCTCCATTTGGCTTTCTGGTGGATGATGATATTTAACGCTATTTTTCACTGACAATGTTTCTTGATGAGCACAGGGGAATTAGCTCAAATGGTAGAGCGCTTCCTTCGCATGCGAGAGGTAGCGGGATCGATGCCTGCATTCTCCATTTGGCTTTGGTGATTGATGATATGTAACGCTATTTTTCACTGACATTGTTTCTTGGTGAGCACAGGGGAATTAGCTCAAATGGTAGAGCGCTTGCTTAGCATGCGAGAGGTAGCGGGATCGACGCCCGCATTCTCCATTTGGCTTTGGTGCTTGATGATATTTAACGCTATTTTTCACTGACAATGTTTCTTGATCAGCCCAGGGGAATTAGCTCAAATGGTAGAGCGCTTTCTTCGCATGTGAGAGGTAGCGGGATCGATACTTGCATTCTCCATTTGGCATTTTGTTCTCGGCTTTTGGGTGGTTGATGATATGTACAAATTTTTTTCACTGTCACTGTTGCTTGGTGAGCACAGGGGAATTAGCTATTTTTCACTGACAATGTTTCTTGATCAGCCCAGGGGAATTAGCTCAAATGGTAGAGCGCTTTCTTCGCATGTGAGAGGTAGCGGGATCGATACCCGCATTCTCCATTTGGCATTTTGTTCTCGGCTTTTGGGTGGTTGATGATATGTAACGCTATTTTTCACTGACAATGTTTCTTGATCAGCCCAGGGGAATTAGCTCAAATGGTAGAGCGCTTTCTTCGCATGTGAGAGGTAGCGGGATCGATACCCGCATTCTCCATTTGGCATTTTGTTCTCGGCTTTTGGGTGGTTGATGATATGTAACGCTATTTTTCACTGACAATGTTTCTTGATCAGCCCAGGGGAATTAGCTCAAATGGTAGAGCGCTTTCTTCGCATGTGAGAGGTAGCGGGATCGATACCCGCATTCTCCATTTGGCATTTTGTTCTCGGCTTTTGGGTGGTTGATGATATGTAACGCTATTTTTCACTGACAATGTTTCTTGATCAGCCCAGGGGAATTAGCTCAAATGGGAGAGCGCTTGCTTAGCATGCGAGAGGTAGTGGGATCGATACCCGCATTCTCCATTTGCCTTTCTGGTGGATGATGATATTTAACGATATTTTTCACTGAATTTGTTTCTAGTTCAATACAGGGGAATTAGCTCAAATGGTAGAGCGCTTGCTTTGCATCCGAGAGGTAGCGGGATCGATGCCTGCATTCTCCATTTTGCCTTCTGGTGGTTGATGATATCAAATGGTATTTTTCACTGACTTTGCTTTCCATCAACACAGGGGAATTAGCTCAAATGGTAGAGCGCTTGCTTAGCATGCGAGAGGTAGCGGGATCGATACCCGCATTCTCCATTTGGCTTTCTGGTGGATGATGATATTTAACGCTATTTTTCACTGACAATGTTTCTTAATAAGGCCAGGGGAATTAGCTCAAATGGTAGAGCGCTTGCTTTGCATGCGAGAGGTAGCGGGATCGATACCCGCATTCTCCATTTGTCCTTCTGGTGGTTGATGATATTTAACGCTACATTTCACTGACATTGTTTCTGGGTGAGCACAGGGGAATTAGCTCAAATGGTATAGCGCTTGGTTTGCATGCGAGAGGTAGCGGGATTGATACCTGCATTCTCCATTTGTCCTTCTGGTGGTTGATGATATTAAATGGTATTTTTCACTGACTTTGTTTTCTGTCAGCACAGGGGAATTAGCTCAAATGGTAGAGCGCTTGCTTAGCATGCGAGAGGTAGCTTGATCGACACCCGCATACTCCATTTGGCTTTCTGGTTGATGATATTAAATAGTATTTTTCACTGACTTTGCTTCTCCGTCAACACAGGGGAGTTAGCTCAAATGGTAGAGCGCTTGCTTTGCATTCTCCATTTGGTTTTCTGGTGGTTGATGATATTTTACGATATTTTTCATCAACCGGTTCCGACTCCTCCTCACAGGTGTCTGACAAATTCCCCGAGCTGAAGAAACGAGTCAAGCTCCCTGACGTCCACAATCTCTTCAAGGATGTCGCGCTGTCCAACAGCACCTGGAGGCCAGGGAAGCGTCTCCGCTGCGGAGTTCCCGACTTTGCTGACAGCCAGCGGAAACGTCTCCTCCCGCCAGGACACCGGCGCAGACGCTTTGTCCTCTACGGGGGGCGCCTGGACAAAAACGACCTCACCTACAGGTTAGCTACGCTAACATGCCAACATGCTAAGTGCACAGAGGCTTTGCTCTTTTTGTCCAATCGGGCGGCTCGGTTTGGAGTCAGACACCAAGTAAAGCGAGAAAGTTGGACAGCAAGTTAGTGGGCCAGTCAGAAAATGAGTTCATGAGTTAGATAACAAGCTCGCAATGATTAGCAAGTTAGCTCGTGAGACAAGTCAGCCAGAATATAATACAAATACAAACATTCTTACGCGAGAACCGATACTCGTACGTGATCACATTATTCTTGCATGTTTTTTTGCGGGGGGTGGGGAGAAATCTCTTTTTTACTCATAAAATTGTGAATGAAGCGTCAAAAAAAAAAAGTTTGGTTTTGTTTTGTCAGGATCGTGCGCTTCCCGTGGCAGATGGGTGAGGAGAAGGTGCGGCGCATCTTTCGGGAAGCTCTGAAGATTTGGAGCGACGTGACGCCGCTCACTTTTACCGAGATCCACGCCGGCAAAGCCGACATCCGCATCGACTTCACCAGGTACGGCAAAAGTTGTCCTCCGCTGTCCTTCTGCTCGTCCGTCGCTCAGCGAGCACTTCCCGGCTGTGGCGTCGCGTCATCGTCGCTCATCTTTTCACCACGTCCGGCATCAGAGACTGATGCATGATCGTAATCATGCATGTTTACCCGAATTAGAACTTTCCTTCCTGGCATTTCCTTGCTATTTAGTTTCCTCTGAATATGTGGCAAGGTGGCCCACAGGTTAGCACGTATAAAGGTTTGTTTGTTTTTCTTTTTCTTTTTTGCTGCCCCGTAGATACTGGCACGGTGACAGCCTCCCGTTCGACGGCCCGGGCGGGATCCTCGCTCACGCCTTCTTCCCCAAAACGCATCGCCAAGGAGACGTCCATTTTGACTACGATGAGGCCTGGACACTCGGAAACCACATGGGTCTGATAAACAGCAACTTCATTGCCATGCTAGTCATGCTAATGCAAATTTACCTGTTACTGTGTCCGTGCAGGTAAACATGCAAATATATTGTACGTATTACATGAGCCTTGTTTGTTAACTAGTTAGCATGCTCATAAATGTTTACCTGGCTGCAGGTAAATATCCTTTTTAGCCCCCCCCCCCCCCAGGTGAAAAACATTTATTATCATATCCTCGCCGCATTCTAACAAATGTGCTAGAAAAGATATACCTTAGCTATACATGCTAATAAAAATGATTGGATTAAATTCTTTTGAATATGTGATAGCTAAGGCAACTATGGGTGCTAAAAAAAGCTGCTTACAAGTAGACATGCTAATAAGCATTGCATTTGTCAGGTCAGAGAGGAGAGGCTAGTAAAAATATGAGCCGGATGCTCACGGTGGTGATAAACAACAATTAAACAATACAGTAAACAGACGAACAATCACTGCGTTTGTCACATTGGGCAAAAAGAATCGCGAAAGAATCTTCACCGCATGGTCAAGAACACAACCAAGAACAGGTTAACTCTCATGCAAATACCTAAAAATACAAACTAACATGCCACCTCGCCAGCTAGCATGGTAACATCATGCTAACTTGCTAACAAAAAAAAGAAAAAGATAGAATGCTAACAAACGTGATAAAACGCGAGCTAAAACAAACAATCAATGACGCTAACAGGCATATGTCCGTGCTTAGGCACGGACCTCCTCCAGGTGGCGGCTCACGAGTTTGGCCACGTCCTGGGCCTGCTTCACTCGGAGGAGCCCGGCGCCATCATGTCCGCCTACTATTCCTTCTCATATCCGCTCAGGCTGAGCCACGACGACCGGCGCGGCATCCAGTACCTGTACGGGACGCGGCCTACATCGCCGCCCACTACATCGCCGCCACCTCCACCGCCGCCGCCGCCGTTGCATCCCGAGTCCAACGAGATTCTCCCACATGTGAGTCATGCTAATGGATAGCAGCCTGTTGAGCAACATGCTAATATGCACATTCTGTCAGCTGCGCTACTGAGGGCCCCCTGAGGTCAAAAGAGAAATGCTCCATAGACATATGCTAACAACTAAACAAGCTAATATGTAAACAAGCAGCACACGCGATTAAATATATCTAGAATAGCTAGTGAACAGGCAAATGTATCGTATCAGCTTTGCTAATGCATACTGAAGGTTAGCCCTGCTAATGAACCGTTCACATTAGCCGCGCATGTCAACATGCTTATGAATGTACACCAGCCACATTTTACGTGAGACTGATCTTCCGTCTCGTTGTTTTGTTTAGCCCGACACGTGCCAGACGGACTTTGACGCGGCGTCCATGATACGCGGTGAGCTTTTCTTCTTCAAGTCAGGATACGTGTGGCGAATCCGTGACGGCCGTCTTGAGAGTGGCTATCCCGCGCTAGCGTCGCGCCACTGGCGAGGGATCCCCAATCGCGTGGACGCTGCCTTCGAAGATGAGGCCGGGAACGTTTGGTTCTTTCAAGGTGTGTACTTTGGTCTGAAATGAATTCCACCCCATCGTGTAAGTACGTTGAAATACAAGAAAATACTCAATGCTGTCGAAATATAAACATTGAAAAGCAAACAAAAATAACGGGAAAAAAGAAAACTTGACACTATAAATTCAACACAATTTAAAAATGGACCACATTAAAAATGACCAACAAAATAAATTTCAAAAAAATGTTCAATATTTCTTCAAAGAAACTCCACAAAATAGAATCTCATCAAACCTTGTCGATATTTTTACAACTAAAACAAATAAAGGATCAGAAAAAAAATGAGTCATCAATGAATTTTACAGAAATTGAGAGGTGATTTTAAAAATACAAACAAAACGCTTGACAGAAGATTGATCATAAAATGAAAATAATATAGCAGAAAACAACATAAAACATCGCCAACTATTCCTACGTACGCTTTGTTTGAAGCTGAAGTGGTTCAATATAATAATAATCATAATGTATTTTAAGTAATAATGATTATACATGTTTCAACAATCCAAAATTACCCCAACAGAAATGAAAATCAAATTAAAAAAAGATCTTGTTAAGAATTTAAAAAAAAAATCCAAAACAATCGTCAATTCAACAAAATATTAAGCATCTACTGAATAAAGTTACACACAAAACATTGACAGCAGCAACATGCATGGTTTAAAAATAGATGTATAAAAATACAGGAGAAATGATGGTAAAAATGATGAAAGAAAGCCCACAAAAATGAGCAAATAAAAATAAACAAAAAAAGCTGTTGCCATTTTTGGAAAATTGAATGAAAGAAATTCATTTGATGAAGCAAATACACAAAGAAACAGGATAGCGTTGACCACCGAACCAAGTCACTCAACGGGATTGAACAAACGTTCCAAATCTTGGTTGAAACAAAAACTTGAGTGTACAACACCGAAACCAACCAAAAACAGAGACACCCAATCAGGAAAACGGCGCCACCGCAAAGCTTTCCCGGATGGGACTGTCGCTAATATTCCGTCCCGTGTGGCGCTCAGGTGACAGCTACTGGGTGTTCGACGCCGAGATGCGGGTGCGAGGCCCCGAGTCGGTCCGGGGCCTGGGCCTTCCCGCGACGGGCGTCCGGGCGACGCTGCGCTGGGGCCGCGACCCGGACTTCAACACCTACGTCTTCGGCTCGGCCGGCTACTGGCGCTTGAGCCCGCGACGCAGCCGCCTGGAGTCGGCGTACCCGCGGGCCACCAGCGACTGGGGCGACATCCCCGCCGACGTGGACGCCGCCTTCCGAGACGCTTACGGTACAAAATGACATATTGGCCCGGAGAAAAGTAGGAGCGCAAATATTCGGAACCTTTTCGGAAACGTACCGCTGTTACAACGGGAGAGATTTTGTCCTTTGACACCCGAATTTGAAAGCGCTCAAAATTGGCCTCTCGTCATTTGCGCTGCTGCACAATGCTAACGGTCCCACGTGGTTCGGCAGGCTACGCCCACCTCATCCGCGGACGGCAGTACTGGAAATTGGACCCGGTGGCCATGAACTCCCTGGAGGGTTACCCCCGCTACGTGGGCGTCGACTTCTTCGGCTGTCGAAACGTGTAACCCGCCCTCGGGCCGCTGCCGATTTTTCAACCTCAGGTGCTCCCGCAGTGAGTCCAAAGGCTGCTTTTGGCGCCACCTGCGGGCCACGTGCTGACACGGCGGTTTCCGGCGCCGCTGCTGGACGGCCTTGGACTCGCCGTGACGCGTTCGGGGGGGGGGTGTCACAGTGTTTGTCGGTGCGGGTCGCTGACGAGCAGCTCACTATCGGGTTTATACACTACAGCATTTTTTTTATCTTTCAGACTTTTTTTTTCCTCCTATTTTTGTTACTCAAATGTAGCCAATTGTACAGGAAGTGTAGCTGTATTTTTGTTTGTTTACCAGAATAAAACTCAACTTTGAAATCAAGTGTGGTTTGGCTTGATACGCTACTTACAAACCCCAACCTTATTTTCAAACCGTACTTTCCAACCTTAACCCTCGGTTAAGACCCTACTCGAAAACCCTCACCCCAATTTCTAAAACCTTAGTTTGAAAGCCAAACCCCAGTTGTTCAGCCTCCCCCTTGGTGGAAGGAGGGATGGCATTTGGACAGCCTTGTGCTTTATTGTTTCCGAAATCCGACTTTGAAGTCTCTCCCACGTTGGAAACCCTCATGTCCAACTCGACTTGCATTCTTTCAAAAACCGAACTCTGCTTCAAATTTGAACTCGTCATCCAGGATGGCACACGTTTTCCTCTGAGCCGTGTTGAACTTCTTCCTCTCTCGTGACACCTTGTCAACATTTCCCGAAATAATCCAGGCCTTTTATTTTGTTTTGCCTTGGCAACAGGAAGTTGACATTCCACAGTAATGACACCGTGGCATTTACACGCGCGCACGCAGGCCATCTCGATGCCCGTGAGCACGTTTGCGCGGGTGTGGCCATGATGATTGCGTGTGTCGATGTACGTTTGCTGGTTAATTTGTGTGCATGAGATCATGTGTTGTGAGCAGTGTGCCCACCGGACTGTGGACACGAGCAAAAAGATTTCATGGTGGAGGAGACCCTGACATCCAGCGTGACTTCCTGTCTGCACCAAGTCCAAGCACCGTTCTTTCAAGGGGAGAAGCTTTACTTGACAAGCGCACGTCCCCGCTTGTCGAAACGCGTCATTCATCCCCCCGGCGGCGTGGCCGTTTTGCCCCCTTGCCATCGCCTGAAAACGACATCGCAGTTGCGCAGGGCTCAGGTCGTGAGCGCTCACGCTTCGCCCGTTTTCTGCCTTTGGTCATGTGACAGTCGTGAGCTGAGCCCTTGGGTACGAGCGATGTCATTTCCGTGGACAGCGAGTGGCAACGTGGCCGTCTGAAGAGTTGACAAGAAAAATAACGAAGCATTTTTTTTTGTTTATTTTGTAAGAATCATTCAAATGTACAAAAAGACCACAAATACAACATAACAAATATATTATCTGACTTCTTGTCCTGCGTGTGGTTGGGTGAGAAGCGAAACGGGTTCACGGGGATAGCGACCAAGCCCATGTCACACCGTGTGCTTCCACAGGGGGGCGCTCATGACGGTGGTGGTGGTGAGGATGATGATGATGAAGCAGCAACATGTTGATGTGCTACCAGGCCGGCGCCGTGTGGGCGAGTCGCCTCATTCGCCTGAAAGGAAACCCAAAAAATGGCAGCACCTGAGCCGTCTGGTGGCATTCACGACTACACTTTGGACACATGCCACCGCCCCCCCTCACTTTTTTTTTTTTTTTTTTTTAAAGATATACCCATTCTCTATTTTTTATGACTAATTGCCATCCATCCATCCAGTGTTCGAGCCGCTTCTCCCAAAGAGGGTCGCGGGCGTGCCAGAGTCTCTCCCAGACATCTTTGGGCAAATTCCCCATTTCGTTTTGGGCCAAATCAAATTTTCACACTTTTACTTTGAAAATGTATGCAGGTATTTTAATTCCTTACTTTGGTTTTTTAAAAAAAAGGTGTCAGCTTTTGTAAATGTTGACTTTTTGTAGATTTCTACTTTTGTAAATGGATACTTATTCCGTAAATGCCCACCTGGTGTTTCTGTCTTGGTCCCTGATCTTCTTCTCCATCTCGGCGTCCGTCAGCGTCTCCAGCAGGGGGCACCACTGGTCGGCGTCGCCCGTGTTCCTGATGGCGATCTCCACCGTGGGGAGGGGGTTCTCGCTGCGGCGGAGAGGGGACAAAAGATGTCAGGCGGCGGGCCGGGGAGGAGGGAGAGCGGCGTGCGCGGCCTACCTGAAGGCGTACGTCCTCTGGTGCCAACTGAGCTGGCCCCGGATGCTGTAGGCGATGGTGGTGACAAACTCGCCCCCCAGGCCCAGCTCGGAGCACAGCTTGAGCGCAAACTTCTCCGGCGAGTTGTCCCTCTCCGACATGTCCCACTCAAACTGGTCCACCAGGGAAATGTTGCCCACGTGGATGTTGAGCTGAGGAAGCGAGGCGGGCGTGAGGCGGCGCGGTGCGGGGCGGGGGCGTGGCCGTTTTGGCCTACCTTGATGATGACCCTCTGGTCCGTCTGCTCGTCCAAGATGCTGTCGGTGGGGTACGACTCCATCTGCTGGCGGATGGCGGAAGCGATGGCGGGCACGAAAGCCAACGGGTTGAGGTCCAAGTCGTCGCAGAGGATCTCGGAAAACATCTCGGGAGTCATCAGCTTCTCTGTGAAGCCCCGCGGCCACAAAATTCCACTTTTAGGTGGCGCCGCCCAACCCCTTGCTACATGGTATCAAAAGTGTTTGCGTGGTTTTGCGTATTGGGCTGCCTGCGTGCAACGTGCCGTTCATGTTCCACGTGAAGGCGTCTCGGAGCTTCTGGCCTTCGATCTCCATGTCCAGGCGGATGGGCACCAGCACTTCGGACTGCGTGGCGTTCTCGTGGATCACCGCCGGGTCGTGGTCGTCAAAGCTGCACTCGCATCAACACACGCCAAACCGCAGACATTAACACACAGCCACTAGGACACAAGCACACGCACACACACACATGCACTGAGCGTGCGTGCGCGCACACACGGTGTCGGCGCCTGACCAGAGCGGGAAGGTCCTCTTTTTGTCCCGTCCCAGGCGGCTGCGGTTGATGGTGGTGGAGCAGGGCACGGCGTCGAGGTGGTGGGAGCTGTTGGGCAGCGTGGGCACCCACTGGCTGTTCCTCTTGGCCTTCTGTTCCCTACAAGGACAAACGTTCCACAAGCGCACGCCAACGTTGATCATCGCGCATGCACCGCTGAGCCACCGGGACGCTGCGCTACCCCGCTCGGCCACACGGGGGCGGCGCTTCGCTCGCTCAACAAATGCTGCATTCAAAGGCCGCCGGCCACTCGGGAACTTCCGCCGTCGGCAAAAAAAAACGTGCATTGTCAACAACAAACCCTTGAAGGCAGCCATACTTTGAAAGCCAAACTTGAAATCCGAAGCGTGATTTCCAACCCGAATACAGAAGCCACCTGAACACTAGCTTGAAATCTTGAAGTTGAACTTTAAACCCGCACCTGAGCTTGAAACTCCATCCTACTCGGAAGCCCAAAGCCCATCCTGAAAACTAATTCTTCTAATGTGACTTGACTTTACTTGAAACCCAACTATGTACCCCTAACCCGAATTCGCAACCTGAATATGAAACCCCACCTGGGCTTGAAATCCTAACACAGGTTTGAAACCTCAATTTGAAAGCCCAACCCTGGCAAGAGACCTTAAATTGAAACCCCAACTCTGAATCCCCCACCCAGGCTTAAAACCTTCATTTGGAACCCCACCCGCAGATTTGAACTCCCAGTTAGACAAGTGGGGCGGGCGGCCACATTTGCAAGCCTGGCTGCGGCTTGAGGGTGCACCTTGTAATGCGGGAGCTTCTTTGAAACCTTAAGCCCGCTGGTGGGCGGCGTGGCGTACCTGAGGTAGGCGGGCGGCTCGGTGCTAATGGAGACGGCCTTGTACTTGTCGTCGTTGCCGTCCAGGATCTCCTCCACCTCGCAGGCCCTGAGCAGCGTCACGCTGGTGGCCAGCTGCGTGTAGCCGTGATCTGAAAGGCGGCAGACGGTTGGCGAGGTCTCGCGATTGGCCGGCGCAGAGGCCCCGCCCGCCTCCGCCGCCGTCGTCTTCATACTGACCTTGTGATGACTCCACGATCTTCTTGCGCTCCTCCACCGACGCCAACTTCCTCCACAAGGACGGATAGCGTTTGTACAGCGAACCCCGGAACATCCGCAGGTAGTTGCCCACCTGAACACATGGCGTCACGTCACTATTAGGGGAGCTACATTTGCAGCCCTAAGCCAACCTCATTTAAAACACAAGCGCCGGCTTGAGACCCCACTTTGAGACCTTAACATAGTTGGTTGACACCCCACAGTGAGCTGGCTTTGAAATGCCAGTGATTATTTGAGGCCATAACACAGTCGTGAAACCCTAACGTCGTTACTTTCAAACTCTTCTACCCCTTGAAGCCTTATTGTGCAACTCGAACCAAGTTTAAAACCCAAACCATGCCTTGAAACTACTTGTACTTTAAAGGCGAACCCTTGTTTTAAGCCCCACGCCTTGTCTTGAAACTCCGACCCTCGTCTAAAACCCAAAGCTAGGCTGGAAACCCGACTGATTTGGAACCGTAACGCTTGTTTAAAACAGGAACAGAGGCTTCAAATCACGACGCGCTCGAAACCCTACCTTGAAGCCCTGAACCTGGCGAATAGACACACTCATTTGAAGACCCGCCCCCCGGCTCACCTCGCTCATTGAAACCCCTTTCCGCATGTCGGCTAAGCGTCTCAATTCAAATGGAGCAGTGGAGCTACGACCTTAGCATGCTAACTCCATCAAATCAACGTATGCTCGTACAAGAGAAAAAGAATGCAAGCCCGAAACGCGAAATGAACAGGTCACCGAAAAACGACCGTGCCTTAAAAGCCGAAAGCGGGCGGCGATATTTGCAGAAATAAAGCTCAGGGGGCGGACGGTTCTTTTATTGGAATACTGAAGGCTCCCAACTTCGCTCAGCAACGGTAGCGTGCCAGCTAACAACGGGCAAGAAGTTGACAATTAAGTAAAAGCTGCGGTGAAGAGGGAAAGGAAAAGGTTCAAATGCAGACACGCCGACCTCCGAGCCGATCATGTAAAAGTCCCCATCGTCTTCCAGCTGGAATTTGACAGGCTTTTGGCCAAACGTCTTGCTGAGCGCCATACCGGAGTGGAACGGAATAACAAAAAGTGGCTTGGATGCGCGAATGCGCAAGCGCAAAACTGGCCCGGCCGACATTTCCGTCGCGTGGTGATGACGGCATCACAGACCGGCCCATACGGGAAATAAACACGAACTGACAATTTCATTGAAGTATATACGAGCTAGGAAAGTGTGAGTCATTTTTGATTAATAACATACACACGGTAATAATGCGTAAATAATATCGCCATACTCGAACGCAATCGCGTAGCAAAAGCAGGATGCGTGCGTATGCGCAAATTGCATAGACGAGGTCATAAAACCTAAACAATGACTAATCGTAATTATGCATAAATTATAGCACGATTGTCGAGAATAACTGACCAGTGACGTTTGGATGATCTTAGTTTCGGGCTAATATTTTATTTTTTGTGCTGATATTTTTCTCGCATCTTTTTCATTTTGAATAGCAAATCAAACAGCATTTCAGTGTTGCTTTTTAAATAGATTTGAAAAAAACAATAATTCTAGCGCCAATGTTATTGTGTTCAAACTAAAGCAACCAATCCATGAGGACAAATAGACAGCGTACATCGTGCTCTTTTATAAACGGTTTATTCATATGTACATTAATATATTAATCTATAACCAAGAGAAGAGGGAATGTACAATGCAAAAAAAAAACTATATACAAATCAATAAATAAACAGTGGGGACACGTTTTTGTATTCTACATTATTTTTAGAGTGTTGTTGGGACGAGAAAAGTAGTGAAGGAAGAGACATAGAAAACTATCCCAGTCTTTTAGTTCAAATTGGGGGGCATTCCGAGCACAGCGGAAGGCAACAACCACTAATAGGACGCAACCACACGCACACGCATTCCAAGCACCGCGGGGAAATCATCTCGACGCGCCAACGCGCACGCATAACAGTCATCACAGAAACGTCGGCTGCACAGAGAAAACACCATTTGTCTTTTCGTCTCAGACAACAACACACAAAGTCTTGTAGTTTTAATTTTGCAATTGAAGGATGAGGCTACGGGAAATGCATGGAACTCCTGCAGTGCAGATCAAGCCAAATTTAATTCATCCTGCTGCACGTGTGGGGAAAAAAAAAAAAAAAACTAAATTGGCAGCTGCTTGTCCATGTGTCAAAAAAAGTAATAAAACTGTTTAAAAAAATGAAGTAAATCACTACAGGTTCGTTCAATCGCGATTTTTGCAACAGTAAAAAAAATGATAATGATATGAAGTGACACTTGATGTGAAGTTTAGTGTCAAAAGTCCTGCGTCACGTTTAAGCGCCACGTGACAAATGGCATGTCATGAGGGGATGAAGTATGATGTCAGTGGTGCAACCTGTCAAGCTATGCGTCACGTCTTCGATTATGGCAGAACATATCAAGAGATGCGTCAAGTGACACATCAAGTGGCACCAAGTGTCATGTCGGTTGTGACATAACAGGTACAGAGTCATGTCAAGTATTGTCAAGTGTCATGTTAGGAGACCGCCAAGCCCATCAAGTGTCACGTCAGCTGATGTATGCGAAGCATGTCAAGCGTCATGTGACATGACACGACACGTGTCATGTCAAGTAAGGAGTCACACTCAGCGTTGGGCCATGTCAAATAACGTAACGTCGGGTCGCGTCGAGCGTCAAGGGTGATGTCGTGTCAAGTGCCGCAGCTTGTCAAGTGTCAATGTTGTCTTGTGACACTTCCAAGTGACATGCGGCACGTGCTGTCAAGTGACACGTCAGGCGAGGCGTGTCTTGGGATGATGTCTTTTCCGCCCCGTGTGTCAGGGCATGATGTCAGCTGCTCATTCTGGGCACTGACGTTACGCCGGCTTGTGACACTTCCAAGTGACATGCGGCACGTGCTGTTAAGTGACACGTCAAGCGAGGCGGCGTGTCTTGGGATGATGTCGTTTCCGCCCTGTGTATCAGGTTATGTTGTCAGCTGCTCATTCTGGGCACTGACGTTAAGCCGGCGTGTGAATTCCAAAAAAAAATTCCAAATGTTTGTTCCCAGCGCAAAAGGCAGATCACTTGATTGGCAACTTGTCCCTGCTCACCACATCCACCAGGACACTTTTTGTTGTCGTTTGTTCACAGTGCTCCACCTGAAGCTCACAGTGACCCCCCTCACCATTTAGACTCCAAGCAAATAAATGCAAAAAAAAAAAGGTTTTGTTTTGTGGCAGTGACGACACACCAAATCACCTTACGGCGCTCATGCCGTTGGTGCTTTTCCATCACTTCCCATGGTTGCTTTGCCAGCAGCATCGGCCACGGCTCAGACTCCAACGCGGTTGCGTTGCGTTGGGAGGAGTCGGAGAAACTCAAACCAGATCGCCTGCGGTGCTTCAGCAACTTTTCCCATGACCTCCAGTTCGTCATTCCAAAAAGCTCAACTTTGACAGACAGTGCTCAGCAGAAATCACAACAGGTTAAAAAAAATACATCCAAAATTGAAGGAGAAGAAAGCTTGACTCCAATTGTCAGTTTTTTTAATACTGTCTGAGTTTTCTGACAATATTTGGAATTTTGTATGAGTAAAGTGCCGTTTTATTCATGAATCAAGTTTTAGGAGAATAAAGCCCCCCCACCCAAAAAAAAAAAACACCATAATCTCAAGAAAGGGCTTTTGTTCTCAAAAATCAACTTTTATGAGAAAAGCCCAAATCATACAAGATGAAAGTAACCCTTTTTTTTTTTTTAATTTGTAATCTTATGAGAAAATTAGACGGACTTTTACAAGAAAAAAAGTTAAACTGACAACAAAGTCATTGTTACAAAAGTTGTAATCTTTCAAGACAAGTCAAACCTTTTTGAAAAAAATTGGGCTTTTTTTTTTTTTTTTTTTAAGAAAAAGGAAATTTTTCAAAAATTGAAAAAATGTGAAAGAAAAAACGAAGACTAGTGTTTTATTTTTGTGAGACAAATATTGGAATCTCAGGGGCGGGGGGGAAAACAGGCTTATATTCGGATGATTTGAATCTCGACTAAGAAATGGATAAACACCAGCCTTGTCGCCATTTATGCCAAGCACTGAGCCTTCCTTCCTAAGTGCAAAGTCCTTCGTAAAAAAACAAAAACAAAAAAAAAGACACGCCGATCGCAACAACAATTGACGGCCGAGGCCCGCTAGTGGTCAAAAATTCCAAAAGTGTCCTTCAATTGCTTCCAGTCACGGCAACGAGTGAAACATGGCACCGCTTCAATAAAAGATCATCAGCACCAAAAAAAAAAAAAAAAAAAAAAAAAAAACCTGAAAAAATGCACGGCACAGCTGTCATATATACACGTTGTCGGCCCTCCCGTCACGTGTCACTGCCGGCATCTGGAAAATCCGGATCCTACCGGCGGGACGGCCTCCGTTTGACCATTTGTCAACAACGCGGGCGACGGGAACATCCGGATCCCGTCCGTCCGACCGCGCGTCTACACGCCGGGCGTCCCGGGGGCCCCGTGGATCCCGCCCACGGGACGAGGCCCGTTTGAGCGTGCGTCAACACGCTGGGTCGGAACGCCGTCCAAAATCCCAAAGTGCCACTGCCGTCCTACTTCCGGGACAGCGTCCGTTTGATCGTGCGCCAACGCGGGGCCAGGATGCCACAAGACAAAAAACCAAACCAAATCCAAAGTGCGACGTGTCGACGAGGCGGCGACTTGGCCCGCAAACTGAGGTCCCGAGCTGAAGCGCGACGCTCTCAGAAAATGCCCTTGGCGATCTTCAGTCCTTTCTGCTTCATGCGCGGCAGCGTGGAGCTGGCCACCGTCTTGGCGCGCGCCGGCCGCGCCGGCCCGCGCTTCTTCAGCACGAAGTCGTAGTTGGCGCTGGAGTTCATGGCGTAGAAGACGTTGGCGTTGTCGGGGATGCGAAGCTCTGAACACAAGCAGAGGAGAGAGAGAAGCGTAGAATTGATTATCCTCGCGATGACTCCAGCGATTGCCCCAACGCCCGTTTTGAGGCGGGAATTTTCGTGCCGACCAATCAGATTTCAAAACAATCTTTTTTTTTTTTTACTTGCCCAAATCATGACACGATGAAACATGATTTGAGCAGACTCGTTCTTTCAGAGTGGCAGCCCTTTACGCCGATGAGCAGTCCAGAAGTCAAGGTCGGGCATCAGTGCGTCTCGCCAATGTCGGACTTTCCGTCTTTGGTGTGGACGTCCGGCAATGCGCAAATACATTTCACGTGTCTGATATCGAGTGACCAAAAAAATGAAGACGGAGGACATTTTCGCAGTCCGCAAAGCGAGTTTTAGTCACAGTTGGTTCAATAAACTTTCAGCGCAGTCCCAGTTGTTGTTGTTGGTTTTTTTTTTGAAGCATTTTTCTTTGCTTCCGTTGACAAAAGCGTTTTTCTCCATTTTCGTGGTGGTCATTTGGTTTGGTTTCGGTTCTCATCTGGCGACGGCCCCACCTTTCTCTTCCGAGATCTTCTGCACCAACTCGTAGTCTTCTGTTTTCTCCCTCTCCAGATTGTGTTTGATCATCGCCTTGCGGATGACGGCCGGCGTCTTATCCTGACTGGTCACCTGCGCCCACGGGACAAACGTCAGAGGCGCGGCGGTCGAAAAGGCTCGGCGGCGCAAAGCAGACGAAAGGCGAGCGCGGAAACGGCGGGTCGGCGCCTTACCAGGATGCTCTTGTACATGTTTCCGTTCTCCACGTCGAGGCTGACGCGGATGATGCAGCAGTCGTCCACCTGCTGGTTGTAGAGGGGCAGCGACAGCGTGGAGTAGTTGGACACGGCCGACGCCGAGCGCTTGTGCGAGCGCGACGCCGACAGCGAGAGCGACAGCGCCGCCGCCGACGACACCGACGACGACGACGCCGTGCTGGAGCCCGACGCCGAGCCCGAGCTGGAGCCCGTGCCCGACGCGTCCAGAGACGACAGCGACGTGCACTCCCAGAACTGCCGCGGGCGAGAGGAAACGCTCACCGTCTTGTCAGCGGGCCAAAGCGAAAGCGCGTCAAGGTGCGCGGAAAACGATTTTCTTCCAGCCCCTTTTTGCGCGACTCGGGAGAGCCATTTGGACGATCAAGTCAAATATTTTAAGGTGGGGAAGTCAAAGTAAAATGGCCTGAAGGTGAAAGTGAAGGTTAAATTATTTTGGGAGCAAGAAGTCACTTTTTTTTCAGGAGAAAGTGCAGCGAAGTTGTACTGTGGAAATGGGCTCGCCTTTTAAGACGAAAGATGTAGTGTAGCAACAGTGTCGTCTTTAAAGGCGGACATGAAAATGTTTGAAGGGGGATGGGAAATGGCTTGGATTAGAAGTATGAGCAAAATCGTGTTTTGAGGTGGACAAAAAGATTTTTTCAAGGCGGAAATGAAAGCAAAATAGCTTAATTTAAATGTTCTCAGCGGTGTTGGACAAGCGAAGCTTCATGAAGCACTTGTGAGAGGTTTTGACTCCTCTCAGTGGTACTCTTGCTTGAAAGATGCAGTGGAATTGTTGTCCACATCCATTGCGCTAACTTTTATATTTAAACCAAGAGAACCGCCTGGAGGAGTCAAGGAACACGGCAAGTGCTTCGTGAAGCTTCGCTTTCCCATCACTAGCTTCTCAGGAGGAACGGTGCCGTCATGTCAAAGGGGAGGGAAAACGTGCTGTGGAAATGGGGTCGTCTTTTAAGGGGCAAGTGGGAGTCAACGAGTCTTGCAAGCAGGAAGTCAAACGTTTTCAGAAATGAGGTGAAAAGGAGCAGTACCGTGGAGGTCGTGTCTGCCGCCGAAGCTTCTCTCCCCAGCGCTGAGACGGAAAGTTTCACCGAAGGCGTGGACGTCTAAACACAAACGCAAACTTGTGATTATTTTCGAATCCGCCCCTCCGGGGACGCCCTCAGTAGGTCAAACAAAGGTATGGTGGCTCTCACCTTCCTCTCGTGTCCCTCGGGCGAGTCCGAGAGGAAGCTGGCGTTGACGTCCTCCAGGTCGGAGCCGCTGGAGCTGACGGAGGTGACGCTGAGGGCGTCGCCGCTGTCGCCGCCGCCTTGGTAGGGCCGGAAGTGGGCGTGGTCAAAGGACTTAGAGTGGGAGCCCACGGCGCCGCCGCCGCTCCCGGCCGCCAGACAGCCGGAGGAGCCCTCGGCCAGCTGCCGACTGCACGCACAAGCGAAGGCGCAACGTCAGGGCTCCCCGATTCACTTGCCGAAAAGTGGAGCGAGGGAAAAGGAGTTTTTCGGGCGTCGGGAACGGGTCAGTCCTGGGAATTGCGGGCCGGGTTGTTCATTTCAAACCCTAAACCAGGCTTGAAATGAGAATTTGAAAGCCCATCTTTGGTTTCAAACCTGAATAATTGTTTGAAAGTCTCCCTCTGGTGCGAAAGCTTGACTGGGGCGGCGTTCAAGCTGAATTTGAAAGACCAAGGCTGTCCTGAGAATTGCTCGTTTGAATCATGAAACTCTCATTTGAAATTTGGCTGCTGTGGTTTCCAAACAGAATTCCGAGCTCAAAGTGGGTCTCGGAGCACCAACTGCGAAAACCCAACAGGAGCTTCAAAACCTGGACTTGAAACCCCAACTTAAGGTTGAAACCCTTAACCTGGATTCAACCGCTCATTTGAAACCCTAACCATTCTTTCGAACCCTCTTGACACCCCACTTTTGAAAGCCTGACTGTAGCTTGAGACCCAAATATGTAACCGTTGTTCAATGCCCTACCCGTGGCTTGGTAGAACCCTAATTTGGAACCCAACCTTTAGCTCCCAACCCTCGGCCTCATCGGAAGGCGAATTCCAAACTCCAGCAAGACGATCCGATGCTAAGCAGCTAACTGGTGGAACTCACTCGCTCCATCGTTTCATGATGCCTCCGTTCTTCTTGGCTCGCAGCGTGTTGCTGGCCGACTCCGAGAGCGGCTCGATGTCGCACGACAGCTGGTAGCTGCGGGACGAGAAGGGAGGAAGGCGATGACGCGCCGGCCGGCCGCCGCGAGCGCCGGCGGCGAGCGGTCGTTTACCTCTCGGCCTCGCTGAGCTTCTCGGTGGAGGCGAACCACTCGCGGAAGTGCGCGTCCTGCGTGAAGCTGTAGTTGTTGGACGCCAGCTGCAGCAGTTTGATCTGCGCGATCACCTCGAATTCCTGAGGGGGAAAAAAAAAGAAAACACTTTTGTCCAACCATTTTGGGATTTGGTGTCGACTGAAAATGACATCACAAGGCTCAGGTGATGAACAATCGGGGCTTGGATTGCGAATGTCACATGACTAAACTCCCCAAAATAATAAAAGCCAAAAACAGGTGAATCGCGAAGCTAACGAGGCTAAGCGCCAACTGCACGTACCTTTCGTCTCTTCTCAAAGTTGATCAGGCCACCCTGGAAGACACAAAAGCAACAATCTTTTGCCAATGACGATCAATAAAACGACAAAGTCAACAGCAGATTTCGGGGGTCCACAAATAAAGAAGAGCTTCGAATTCAAAGAGCGTCGTTTGTGCTCACACTCGCACCGCGGAACAATTTCGAGTGTTTCATCAACCTGCCACGCATGTTTTTGGTATGTGGGAGGAAACCAGAGTACCCGGAGAAAACCCACGAGAACATGCAAACTCCACACAGCCGCAGCCCAAATTGAACCCTGCACCTGTCCACCGTGAGGCCGACGCGCCAAATACTCGACCGCCGGGCCGTCCTGTGCGCGCTTGCGCTCATGCAAATGCATTCACTGATGTCATCTTTTTTTTTTTAATTGGCCGGAAAGTCGTCATGACAAAATATCAGCAAAAGAGCTTCGCTGACCTCGGTGTAGTCCTTCATGGCTGTGTCCATCATGACCAGGTCTGTCAGGAAGGTGCCCAGGTAGGGAATGGTGCCCTGCATCACGCCCTGAACACGCACGCGCGCGCACACGCACACACGCACGCACACACACACACACACACACACACACACACACACACACACACACACACACACACACACACACACACACACACGCAACACCACGCCACACAATGCCAGTGACTGAGAGCGCGAGTTTGTCGTGCCGCCACTAGGTGGTGCTGCGCTGTACCCACCAGGTCTCTCTGCTGCTGGTGTCTCCTCTGAGCTCGCTTGGGATTCAGCTCCAAAGTAGCAAACTTGGACGTTCCCTCCTGAGGGGCCAAACAACAACATCAACAACACAAAAACGCATCATTCCGCATCGTCGGAGATATATATGTATATATATAAAATATATATAAAGTTTTCATGTTGCGCAGCGCAAGAATTAACTTGACAGCTGAGAGAGCAAAATCAACAAAAAAAGGGCCGATTTTGCGAGGGGAAGATTTTTGAATGTCATTCTCTTTGTTTTGTGGTGTATATTGTTAAAGTGTAAGGAAAAATAGTCTGCAAAGATGTGGCCGATTTTTAGCAATTTTAAAAGAGCTCAAGTCTGATTCATCGGTCGGGCCCGATTATGGCGCATGGAGACTGAAATGTTGGCACTGGTACTCGGTCTGACGAAAATGATATCGTTGCATTTCCACGTGAGCCTGCCGTCGGCTGATAGAGCTGGCCGACGCCCCGGGGTGTTCCCCGACACTCGGGCACTTATCTCCGGCCATCACACGGGTCCTCCAAAATGTAACGGCTACGTCACGGGGTCCCCCCCCCCCCCACACACACACACACAGGAACACCAGGCGGGCGTCTCACCTTGACCAGCAGCTCCCGGCTGAGCGAGTAGTTGTTGTCGTCCGAGAAGATCTCGGAAAGTTCGCGGAAGGTGCGGAAACTCTCCCTGTGGAGAACAAAAGAGGTTGAGAAGCGCGTCGCGGGAGCGAAGCGCAAGACATCACGGCGGGCGTGCCGAGGACGGACCGAGACACTTCCTCCCAGGTCCTCTTCAGGCGGTGGACGGCGTTGCACTGCAGGGCGGAGAGGATGGCTCGCAACGAGGAGAAGTTCTTCAGGATCCGACACTCCTGAGGGTCACACGCGCGGCGTTTTAAGACCTGCGTTGAGCTCGACAAAAACAGCATCAAAGAAAGAACAAAATTGCTCCCGCAAACAAGAATTGGGGGTTTTCAAGAAGGGGGAGGGATCCGAGATTTGAGATTAGGCTCAGGGGATTAAATGTGGTTTTCGACCCCTGTTGGGGTTTCAAAATGATGCGCGGAAACACGGGCTCGGGTGTAACATGAGGCGGCTTTCGAAGCCAAGGTTGGGGTTTCAAACTTTGAGGTTGGTTGTGGTTGGTGGTGCGAAATGCATCGCGCGAGTGTTTGTGGCATCCTGACCCGGGCCACGTCGATCCACCTCTCCAGGAGTCGGGCCCTCTGGTTGTGCTTGAGCGCGGCGTTGCTCAGGCTGGTGCTGATCACGCAGTTGGTGACCGAGTTGAACTGGGCCACCGTGGCGCGGATGGTGGGGGCCAGGTGCTCTTTGCCCTTCTTGTCGCGCTGCGACCAGATGCCGCCCAGGCAGTGGTACGGGACCACCTTCTTGAACAGGTCCTGCGCGCAACAAACGCAAAATATTCATTCTGCACAGATTTTCTTTTTTTTAATGACAACTGAATACATCTGCTCCTGACATATGACATACTTTTTGGGTGTTGGGGGGAGGGGCTCTATTTTCATCAGAATTTTTATAGCTATCATTTTTTTTTCCATCTTGACTTTACGAGGTTTTCTCCATATTTTTCACCCGCTACAGCATTGAGGGCTACGTGTGGGAGCGATATTCAATTGCCGTTAAGATTTTGATCTTGGCGAAAATAAAAACAAAAAGTTTGAGAAGCCACGCTTGGCTTTCATTGATTGGAATGCTCAAACAGTGGAAGGTGCCCCACCCACTCCTGCTGCCCAAAGACGGGCTCCAGCGCACCGTAGGCAGCCGGCTAAAGTCAAGGCTCTCCGTTCTCAAGAGATCTTTGAAGAGTTCGATTTTTGCTGCACGCACGGCCCTTCGTATACAAACAGCGCTGGTTGTCTTAAAAAGTGCTCGAGAAATACACTTGAGTTGAGTTGAGTTGAGTTGAGTGAGGAGGCGGGGCTCCGCTGATGGATGGATGGATGGATATTGTCGGGTTCTTTTTGTCAGTGATTGTGATGCTTTTAGTTGTTCTGTTTCACGTCGTCGTTCTTTCTGTCCTTTCTGTCACGCTCGATTGCTCACCGCGTCCATCAGCGTGAACTGCTCGGCCACCATGATGGGGTCGAAGGACAGGAAGCTGAAGGTGGGCAGCTCGTCCTCAAAGCCGCTCTCCTCCTGCGTGGCGAACGGGCATCCCAAGTGCTCGCCTGACGACGCAAGATGAAGATGAAGATGAAGGCGGGCATTTCAAAACACGTTTCGGTTTTCAATTAGGGCCTTCAAACTTCAACTCAATGACAAAACAACATGAAGACACACCCACATGAGATCCCGCTTTCTTACCGTCGGTGTCGGGTTCGCACTGCTGCCGTCTGTGGAAATGTGCCAGCAGGTTGCGGGCGCGACGCTCCAGGTCAGAGCCGGGGAAGTGAAGGTGGAGGTACGACAACAGCTGGTGGAGGCAGTCGTAGCCCGGAGGAGTCCAAAAGTCCTCAGAGTACTGGTCCAACCACGCACCCAAGATGGACGACACCGTGCTTCACACCGCAGCGGCACACGCTCGCATGTTAGCATCATGCATGCTACTTTTGCTCTAGTTGACCACATGGCGTCAAGTGCACGGAGGCAAGAGCGATAAGCCCCAAGAGAAATAATAAAAGGGCTCGTTATGCTGACATGCTAACATGTTCGTGTCATTAGTCGATAGATTAGACGGCTTCAAATGCGTCCTGAGAATTCACAAGCAAGACCAAAGAGGCTAAATGCTAGCAGCGGCACCAATGCGAACATGTTAGCGTCCTTTTCGCGTTGAACTGATAATCACTTGGACAATGTCTTGGGGGCTTCCGCGACGCTAAATGAGGACAATTCTATGCTAAAATGCTAAAATCAGGATCAGGTTCAGCTGTTTCGAATGCATTGGTCAATGTTTCTGAGGGCTCATTGAGTTCCAAAGCAAAAGTGGAACCCTAAGCTAAACGCTAGCAATGCTAACATGTCAGCATCACTTCCACGCGTGCCATTTCAACTCTTTGCCAATGTTTCTGTGGCCTCCGTGGGGGGTTGGAACGCATGTGGCAAAGTTACATAATCAGCCTGACGCTAAATGCTAGCAAAGCTAATGAACACTATTGAATATGGTGCGCAGATATTAATAAAGAAATGACTAGAGAATAGTCATGATTGAAAACAAAGAAGGGTCAAGAACATGCGTGGTCTCACTTTCTGAGCTCGGTGCAGTCGTCCTGGCAGACGCGATGCGCCGTCGCCGCCGGAACATTCTGGAGCCTGGCGTACCTGTCAGGGAATACAGAGACGCAAAAGTTAAGACGCCTTCCCCACCCCCAAAAAAGCAACAACAACAGAAAAGAAAGATGACGGTGAGAACTATTTGGCGAGGTTTGAAGCCTGGGTTAGTGCTTTGTCAAGAAAGATGAGGGTTTTTCGCAAAAGGAACAAGGTCGGGTGTGAAGCCGAATGTGACGAGATCGGCCATTACCTGTTGAGCAGCAGGTCGAGCACCTGCTTGGCGGTGGCGAAAGATCGGTAAGTGCAGAGGAAGATGGTGACGTAGGTGGAATCTTTGCCCTTGAAGGCGGTGACCATGTACTCCACCAGCCTCTCCAGGGTGCCCGCCTTGATGGTCCGCACCTTGCACGTCTCGTACAGGCTGAGGCCGGCGTCCGTTTCCACGCCCAGCCAGCGCTGCCCCTTGCTGGACGAGTGGTGCAGCTGCACCTTACGCAGCGTGATGGTGAAGATGGCGTCGGCCTCCACCTCCTCGCCGATCTCCTGCGTCGAGCTCTAAGAGTGGCAAACACGCACGCGCACACACACGCACACACACACACACACACACACACACACACACACACACACACACACACACACACACACACACAAAGCCCTCTTCATTTCTTGTTCAGCAAACAGCAAATTATTTCTTTGATGAAATGAAAGTGAGCCTCTTCCATTGAGGACAAAGCTTCGATCTACATGTAGCTCCAATCTAAGCTTAAAAAAAAAATATCTCTCCCCAAAAAGCTCTTCATCAATCAATAAGTGAACGAGATGAAAGCAGACGAGTGGAATTGAGCCTGCGGCCTTTTTGCAGCAGTCAACAAATAAGAGTAGAAAGAGAAAAAGGTTCTCTTTTATGGAGGCAAAGAAGATGACAAAAAGGTCCCCAAAGCGCATCCAACATTTATTTTTTAATTTTCAAAATCAACATTTTGTCAAAGGCAAAACGGGGACATTGCCATGTAAAAAAAATGTAACGAAAAGTCGAAAAAGAAAGTCACATTGTTGTAGTCCCCCCCCCCCTAAAAAAAAATTTATTAACATAGAAAATTTCACCATTTGTTTTTTCTATTCGTCACATGATTATGATTTACTCTTGTGGAGTTTTTTTGTAACATTACAGCATTTTGATCTCTTGTGAAATTATTTTTTATTCGAGAAAAAAAATTCAAAGATTTTTCATGTGGGACAACAAATGTTTGGTGTAAAAAAAAACATTCGTCAGTTTTTTTGTATCTGTCATCTTTTTCAGACTGTCATAAGATTAGAAGACTTTGTTCTCCAAAAAAATTTCATTTTTGTAAGATTGTGACTTTTTTTCTGTAGGATTACGACTTTCTGCTGTAAAAAAAACGCTATTTTCGCAGTATTATTATTGGTGATACTGTTAGCATTGTTCTTACACGTTACAAGTAGTGTAGCATTCTTAATTAATTAGCGCATTACAAACAAATCTGTATTAGTTGTGCTGGTGCTGTGTGTCTGTTTTTACAATACAATGTATACAACTCTGACTTCATTCGAAAGTGTTCCAAATCAAGTGTCCTGTTAAGAGGCTACTCGCAACAAACTGACCGGTAAGCCGCCCCCTCCACACACCCCCCACACCCACGGGGAGCCCCCGATTTACAAGCTCCCCCGAATCGGCCTCACCTCCGGGAGAGGCAGGTCCGGGTCCAGCTGCGTGAAGCTGTGCAGCACCACCGGACCGCGGCTGTCGGACACCTCCAGCTTGACCCCGTCCCACACATCGCGCGCCCGCCGCGACGACTCGAACATCTCGGTCGGGCCCCGCTCGACGGCGCCACCGAAGCGGAGGTCGCGAGAGAGGGCCGCCGTCACCGCGGAGAAAGCGACATTTCGGCGGCTTTGTTCGCTCGCCGAGGGGCCCCTTGAGGGCTACCGACAAGCGGGACGTTTTCTTCGATCGACCTCGGTGACAACGACGATGGAGATGGAGCTGATGATGATGATGATGATGATGCGTTTATGGGAATCGTGACTCACTCGGGGACTTTACTAAGCCACGCCCACAGAAGCGCGATGCCTTCGGATCCGTCGGAAATATCGAGATTACACTAAGTGTGCAAAAGTAGTTTGGCACCACACACACACACACACACACACACACACACACACACACACACACTTGGATAATTAATTTCGATAAGTCGACTTCAAACTGTAATCACTATTGCATAGTGGCCAAATCAACTAGTCAGTTCAACCCCTATGGCAGACGGTGCCCAGAAATGCGCCTGTGAATAAAATATACTCTTAGGAATGTGCCAATGAATAAAACATATTATTATTATCGTTTGTTAATCCGTAAATAAAGTGTATTGTCATTTGTTATTATTAAGCACAAGTTTCCAGAGTGTCATCGAAGGCAGCATCGCTCTGTGCCGCCTCGGGAAACAGTGGCTGCGTTTTGATTGTTGGGGTTCACTATGGCAGCGCTCACCCACACACACCCACACCCACACGCACATGCATGCGCACATGACCGTCAGGGCAGAATTGTTTGTAGATTGTGTGCCAGTGCCCCCAAGTGGACAATATGTTCATTTTTTTTATTTTTGGGGGGTATCCAGTATTGTATAATTTAGATATTTTTTTTCCCCTCAGAATCTGTCAGACCAGATGTGTTTGAGTGTTGAAGAAAAATCGGGGAAAACATCAGGACGCTCACGCATGTTCACCTATTCGCTGACTTTTTTCTTTTTAATTAAAATTTTCAAGGGACTGGGAAGGCGACCCCTACTTTTCCATGATATGCTAATGGCCGGTATCTTGCCACTTAAGAATTTTGGGAGTCAATGCGATCTTGAGACGACCCGATCTTGATCGTGAAATACCGCTACGAGTGGATGAGAAATGAGCATCGAAAAAGAGGCCCCAAAAGTGTCGAAACGACACGGTCACGTTGAAGCACAACATGTGCGCGCTGAACCAGGTTGTGAAAAACAAACGAAAGCAGATCAATAGGAAAGCAACTCCAACGAGGACCGCATTGCCATTCTGCTCTCGTTGCTACGCTTTGTGATTACTGACTTCTTTTTACACTTGTAAACAGTGTTAAAAGTGGGGGAGCCCCAGGGAGCCTCAGGGAGCCCCCCCCCACCCCGTGCCTTTTTTTGCCCTCTGCAGCGATCTAGCACAAAAGACGTCTCCCCAGGTTGCACCGAGGCGAGCCCAACCTGTGTTCGGGTCCGGTCAAAGTCTCCCGCCTCCCAGCAGCCTCCCGACCGCACCAACAGTCCACAAGTCCAGCGGCTCCAGCTCCCCATCTCCGAAAGCCCGAAGGAGGTCCGCCGACACCTGCGCTCGCCGCTGCGCCCCCTTAAAAGTGGGGCGAAACCCCTGGCGGCCGCTCCGGCTCCGGGCCGCATGTTTGCTTTTGCAGCTGTGTCAACAAGCGCAGGAACAACACTGGGAAAAAAATTAACTGGTGGCGACTTGAAAGAAGGCCGCGAGCCCGGCGGCGAGCCGCCACCACCGCGACGCGGAGGACGAAAAAGGAAAGCGAAGCACACGCACACAAAAATGTGTGGGAAGGTCCCAAAACAACGGCAAGATTGATGACACGCACGCGCTCACGCACACAGGCGCAGGCACACGCACACACGCAGGCGCGCTGACACGCGTGTGCAACAAAGCGGTGCAAGCCACTTACTTGAATGCAATCGCTCCTCGCAGCGTTTTCAGCTTGCACAAGAGAAATGTACACAAGCACTCGAAATAGCAACGTGTCAAGTGGCAGCCGTCTTGGTGGAACGGTCGCACGACAAATGCCTCAAAAACTCAAATAAAAATGCCCGCAGAAGTCCATGACCCGCCCGCATTACTCTTGGGTGCCAATCGTCTTCCATTTTGGAGCTTGGGTTCGACATTTTGACACACCTTCGTGCCGCTTCCAAGAACCGACGGACTTGAAGAATCCGAACATAAACACTGGCCCGCTCGTTCGATAAGCACGAAAGGCCGCCGACTTCAATTTCCCGTTGTCAACGCATTCAACATTTCGACCCCCGCAGACTTTCACGCGTCGCCGACAACGAGGTGACAAATTTCCGCCCGACCGTTGGCGTAAAAACTCAAGTCGGAAAGTCCGCGGTCGGATTACGACAAGAGCGCGATAAGCCACGAACGACCACGCGCGCGCACACGACAAGCCGAACCCGGCTTTCGAGGCGTATTGACGCCTTACTTCGAAGCCTTAACCCTGTCTGAAAACATTCAAAACCCTAACTCAGGCGTGAATGCTGATTTCAAACCCGAATTGGCTTCAAAGCCTCAGCCTTGCTTTCAGTCCTATTTGAAACCCAAAACCGCATGTGAAAACATTACACCGACTTCAAAAGCCTCACTCAAAACCTTCACTTGAAACCCGAATCTCTTCACCTCACAAGGACCTCAATGTAAACGTGCTCGAAATCAAATCTACTCACTTTCTTCACACCCTGACTGAGGGAAAAATCAAATCTACTCACTTTCTTCACACCCTGACTGCCCCAAACCCGGAATGCTTCCACTGTTTCCTACAGCGGCATCAATACACGCGCACGTAAACATAGTGGCGGCGGCGCCCTCACCAGGTGCTCCGTGAGGTATATGGGCAGGTGTAACGTGCCCATCATGGTGGCCGGCTGCCGCGCCAACGCTCGCGGCACGTTGAAGAGCTCCTCCATGTTGTCGGCGCATCAACCGCACCCTCGTCCCGGTGCGCTCGTCTCGTGCGCTAGTCCCAGGCTGCTCCTGGGCCGCCACTCGACCACATGTTGCCTACATGCAACAGCGCGATCGGTTTTCATGATGGATTGTGGCAGGGGGGGAGGATGGGGAGTAGGGGGGGAGGCTGCAGCTCTGTGACTCAACTCCCCCCTCCCTTTCCTCCTGTATCTCTCCTCCTTTCCTCCTCCTCTCTCGAGTCTTTTCTTTCTTCCTTAACCCATATCTCTCAATCATTCCCTCCCTCCCCCTTGCTCTCTCTCTTCTCTCTCTCTGTCTGTCTCCTCATCTCTTGCTCTCTTTGTCACTCCGTCAGGACTTTCCTCTCTCGCTCTCCTGAGCTTGCCCTCTCCCTTCTTCTTCTGTCCCCTCCCTGTATCTCTCCCTCCATCCCTTCCTCTCTTTTGAAATTCCCCGACCTCCCTTTCCTTTCTTGCTCCCTCTCTCACTCCTCCTTAACTTTCATTCCCCCCCTCTTTCGCTTCGTCACTCTCTCGCTTTTCCCACGCACTCCTCTCTTTGCCCTCAATCTCTCTCTCTCTCAGGCACCTGCTGGAATGTTGCGCACTCTCATAAAAGTGTCTCCTCTGTTGCCATGGCACCTCGCCGCCAGTCAATCAAACGCGGCGGCGGGCGTTGCGGTCTGCTTTCTGTTTACACAAAGTCGCGTGCGCGTCATCAACGTCCCGTAACGTCCCGTTTTGATCAAATCAAAATCATTCGGACCTTTCACATTCTGGAGCGTTGTGCAAGTGTAACAAGAAGGTAGGAAGGCAATTTATTGGGTTTGTTGGTTTTTTTTTTTGGTGAGGGGGCCACGTTGCTGTAATCTGGCCCCTTTCCGATGTTGCTGCAGTGCAGGAAGTGAGAGTGAAAGCTGGCCTTTGTGTGGCCAAACAATCAAGCTGTTCCGCCTCCCGCTGCCTCGCTATATGCAGCGTGACGCGCGATCATGTTTTCAAAGTATGGTGTCAAAGCAGGCTTAGAGTTTCAAATTAGGATTAGGATTTCCCGTTGGGCTCTCAAATGAAGGTTTCAAGCCGCTGTCATTATTTTCAATCAGGGGTTCAAGTTAAGATTTTAAAGCTCAGTTAGGATTTGAAGTCCGAGTTTCAAGCCACGGTTGGGGTTTCAAGTATCCGCCGGCAAATTCTTGTCTCCATGGCAACGTGCGTCCCAGTGTGCGCTTTTTATACAGCACTCGGTCGACTGATCCGATCGGTGTGACTGGGCGCCACCTCGCCCGCCCTCCGCTTCTCTTGGCACCGGACGCCGGCGGCGGGCGGCCATCTTTGACGCCAGCGCGTGGGAACAAAGCGGCCATTGAGCTCCCATTCACGTGCTAATGACGCTAGCCGGCTAGCGGAGGATGTCCCGCACATGAATGCTGCTGCCATGGCAACCAGCAGCCGCGGGTAACCACTTCCTGCGGACTCACTGACAGGGCAATTATGAATGCAACTTTTACGCCAATCACAAAGGCTCAATTTTGTGCAAGTCAAGTCTGCCTAGCAACAACTGACTTGCTCGAAATTCTGGGATTTCTTTTTTGTTGTTGTTGTGGCTGAACTGCTTCTTGTTTTGATTTTCTTCCTGTTGTCACATTCTGAGAGTTACAATTTAATTATTCAAAAATATTTATATTTTTAAATTAAGTATATATCATTATTATTAATGAAGTATCAATTATTTTTCTTCATTTTTGTCATTTCAATGGAAAAAAAAGGCCCCCCAAAAATGACAAAAGGTGGTATTTGTCGGGAACTGTAGCAGCATTTATGAGTCGACTGAAAAAATATTGACATTTAACAGTCATGGCAGTTCATAAGCCAAAGAGCAAAAGTTTCTAGCCTGAGTTAGGGTTTCAAGGTAAGGTTTGGAGCCTGAGTCAAGGGTTTTAAATATGGGTTGGGCTTTAAATTGGGGTTGAAATTGAACACAGCTGCAACAGTATCATGCCTGCTTTTGCTGTATTCAGCGTAAAAGGGGCGGGCTGATCAATGCCGTCTTACGCCTCTGGTGCGCTCACTGTGGAAAGTCTGCATGAAAGGTGCTACATTTGGCAGGATCTCTGTGTGAAAGATGTTTTTTAAATTGGTTCCACCATGTGCCGGAATAATTCATCGCTAGGTTCTTGATGAATGAAAGGTGGAGAAATATCCCATCTCCTGTTAGGTGCATCCACTACGTTTCAAAATCTATGTAAGAAAGGGGTTATTACTGGCAACACCAGCCACTGTAGTAAATAATCTCTGGGTTCTGTGTGCAAAACCAAGACATAAATAGCAGATCTATTTTGACAACTATTTGCAGGATCTCTGTGTGAAAAAAAAGATCTACGACTGATACCACCAATCACAGGGTTTGTGTGAAAGGCAAAGGGAAATAAATATTGTGTCTCCTGTTCGTGTGAAAGGGGTTCATGACTGACAACGCCATTTGCTGTAGCAAGCAAATGTTGGGTTCTGTGTGAAAAACAAAGACCAACAAATTCCAGATCTACTCTTACGGCTATTTTGGAAGGTGGTTGCATGAAATGAATCAAAATTCTGATTAGGAGAAGATCACGTCGGTCACCGGTGATGCTAATTAGGCACATGCAAATGAACCCCGTGTCCAGGTGGGCTTTTGGGGACAATATGTGCCATCTTTTCATGGCTTACCTGTTTTTCCAGCATGATCATTCTCTCGCTGTCATGACCTTCATGAGCGTGTCGAGGTGCACCTTCAGTCGGTCAGTCAGTCAGTCGCTCCCCTCGGTTAGCATCCTCATCGAGAGAAAGAAAAATCCGAGGACTGGGGGGGGGGGTGAGCTAACTATCTTAGCCGTGATGCTAATCGTGAGCTACGGTGTTTTAAATGTCCTCTTCGCCGTCAGCATGTCTCCACATGGCGGGGATGGGGGGGGGGGGGGGGGCGGGGAGAGGTTAATCAAAAGCAGCCAGCCGTGGAGCTAAAGTGATAGCTTAGCGTTAGCCGGCTAAAGAGCGAGCGATGGTGTTTATTTGTCTCCTCCCGCTCTCATCCGAAATCAAGACGACATCGGCGGCGCGAGGGAGAAAATGATGTCCTCCAGCGTCGGTTCTCCACACCAAACCTCCACCGTCATCGCCGTCGTTGTCATCTTCCCCACCAACGAGAAGTCGCCCCAGCTGGATGCGGCGATGCCACCGCGACCGCGGATGCTTTGCTGATGCTGGCGAAGGTGGAGGCGAATCTCCGCTTTCGTGACGGCCGTGGACGACGCTCATGAACGCCGCACACGTAGCACGACCGCTTACAATATGGAAGGCCCTAGAAAATCCGGAGGGGCATTGAACGCACCGCACATAGCTGTTTTGTTGGGTGTTTTTCCTCCGTCGAGAGCTCTCTTATTGAAAGCAGCCTTTCATACACTCAACTATCGAGGGTATATGGCTAAATTCAAGTTCAAGTCAACTTTATTGGCAAATGTGCTCTATGTGCAACATACAGCACAGATGAAATTTCTTTCCGCTCCACCACAGTGCAAACACAGGAGAGAGAGATAAATGCATGTAGATACAGTGGAACCTTGCTAGAATTGCATTGGAAAAAAATTGACCCTAAAAGTTCTTGCATAATCAACTTAGATTCCACGTAAAAACAACAACATTTAAATAAATCCGTGAAGATTTGAATCCGTTGGTGCCGAAATGCGAGTATGTCGGGTTCCCCTGTGTTTCATACAGCGCGTAAGGGTGTTTATTCACCCAGCTACACAGATTTACAGGCTACTGCATTTCCTCGAGTAGTGACCAGACTCAACAACTGAGAGTATCAAGCTACTGTATTTTTTTTTTTTTTTGTGGCCGCTACTTTTACTCAACCCCAGTGGGTATGCTGCCGCAAGTTCATGTCGTGACTACACTAAATACTAAATGTGTTCAAACTGATCAACTCAATTGTTTTTTTGTTTTTTTTCAAATAATCCTGAATTTAGAATTTTATGGCTCATCACGTTCCAAAAACGATGGGACAGATGGCTCATAAAACGCCTTGGCACATCCCGCGGGTGAACAGGCTAACTGGAAACAAGTAGGCGCCATGATTGGCTCGAAAAGGAGCTTCCCTGAATCGCTCAGTCATTCGCAAGCAAAGATGGAGCAAGATTCACCTCTTTGTGAACAACTCTGCCAGAAAGCAGTCCAACAATGAAGTTCAAATATCTTGTCCTTGTAGTCTATTTAATTGAATATAGGTTGAACTCGATTTGCAAATCGGTGTATTCTATTTTCATTTATGTTTAACACTGTGTCCACACATCATTGGAATTGGGTTTGTGCCAGGCTACACTTTATTTCCACGTATCGATACTTTGAGCTTGTTCAACTGCGAAGAGCATCAGATGAATGTATTTCCTTGAATCGTGCCCACGAGTGTCTACCTAAGTGTACAGTATTGAATGATGCATTATTGCCTCGCATTTATTTACTCAACTCCAGCAAATATTATCCGCTTATTAGGGGGAATGCATTTAGTGGGAGGAATGTATATGTAGAACTCTATTACAGTGTCAAACTGTGAAGTATAACCAGTAATTAAATTACTCATACGAAAAATAGCAATCATTTATTCCATTACGTTGTTATTACATTCATGGAATTATTCACTGCTGAAATTTAAATACTACAATTGCATTTTCCATTATTTAAAAATTCAATAATGAAATCAGTTCATTATTGAATAATTTACTGACGGCGAACAGTGAAAACCGCGGAAAGATACTTTGTGACGTCACGTTAGGGCGGTGCCTAGCCCGGCAGACTACCTAACCTGTGATAAAGGCGTAACCACGCAACCCGATCGCAGTGCATTGTGGGGAGCTTTGCGTAAACTCAACATGGCGGCGGCCTGTACCAGATCGTTGGTTAAGGTCGGTTGGACCGTTCTGGAGAGTCCCGCGCTCCGCCGACCCGGTACGGGCGTCCACCTGGCGGGGAACGCCGGCTCCCGTGCGTCCCGAAGGTTCTACTATGGCGGGGGCGGCGGTGGAACAGGAGCCCGCTCCGGGCTGCTGTGGTCTCTGCGCGGTAGAGGAAACGGAGCGCTGGGCTGCGCATTCCTCCTCGGCGGCGGTGTGGGGCTTTATCATACCTTCAAGTTCTATTGGGCCCAGCAGCGACAGCTGGCCCAGGAGCAAGCCCAGGTGAGATGCCTCATTCTCGGGGAGATAAAAGGGAACTCTGCTTTGCAGGGACTGACTTGAATGCTTTGCCCCCCAAAGAGGTCCGCAAGAAGGCGAAACCACTTTTAAATGATCACTTTCTGCGATTTTGCCATTTATATTTGTGTGACATTTACTTTTTCGTTTTAGTCTAGAAATTGTTGGCAACATCATTTTTTTCTACATGTATCGCTATTATTGTCATTTTTTTCCAGCTAGCATATTTTGGTCCATTTTTTAAAAATCACATTCATATTTTGTGGTCATAACAATTCACTGCCCGCTATTTTCCAAGCGGACTTTGTGTTGTGTGGTCATATAAGCACCGGGCACACCAAAAGAAAAAAATTAATCGCTCTTTTCTTACCCACGATAAAAAGTTTCTCTCAAGCATTTTCCGTTCTTTACCAATTGGAACGCGGGTCAGTTTCACCAAAAACAGCAGTTTCTGACCAAAAGAGCAGAGAAAGCAATGTTTTTGTGAAAAGATGTGTCAATATTTGTTGTTTTTATGACATCTTAAACAATAATACAACAAAAATGAGCGACTAAGTCAACGCGACGGCTCCTCTCACCAATTCGTGGTTACGATCCGCACGTGTGTCTCAGGCGACCCCCGCAGGATCTCCGTCCCTGACGCTGTACCAGTACCAAACGTGTCCGTTCTGCAGCAAAGTGCGAGCCTTCCTGGACTACCACGGGCTGGCCTATCGCGTGGTGGAGGTGAACCCGGTCATGCGGCGGGAGATCAAGTGGTCGGCCTACCGCAAGGTTCCCATCCTCATGGTGGACGAGCACCTGGTACCACGCATACCTACCGCTTACCATGCAAACCTCTTGAGTGTTTTTTTTTTTTTTAATTCGTCTACGATGTCAGCTTTTTTGTTTGTTTGTTTGTTTGTTGAATCAAACTGCAGCAGCTGAACGACTCTTCCGTCATCATCAGTTCACTCAAGACCTACTTAGTCAGCAAGTAAGCCCCGCTATATGAACAACTATCTTGACAAGTGCCTTGATTACCTTCATAGCGACATTGATAACTACCTTGACAATTGTCTTGACAGTAAAACTTAACATCAACGCCCTTAACAACTATATCAATCAACACCTTGACAACTACATTATTAACCAACTCTATTAATGATTAGCTGCACCACGACATGACCAACATTAACAATTACCGGTATCTGGATGACAACCGTGACAAGTAACTTAACATTAACAACAACCTTATCAACTATATTAATAAGCACCCTGACAACTACAATTATTAACTAACTACATTAATGACTAGCTTGACAATTACCTGAACAACCTTGATGACGACATTAACCATCTTGACAACTACCTTTATATAACTACCTTGACAACTAAGTTAACATGAACAAGTATAAACTACATTAACTAGCTTGACAACTACACGAGCAAGATTAACAGCTACGGAAAAGCCCGTTTGAAAAACGACCTCGACAACCACCTGTCTGTGTTCGCCGCTCCCCGCGAAGGGGTTCCAGCATGACGGACATTTTGCGCTGTTACCCCGAGATGAAGTCGGTCAACGATAGCGGCAAGGAGGTGACGGAGTACAACAACAAGTATTGGCTGATGCTCAGCCAGGAGGAGACGGCCGCCGTCTACCCCGAGAAAGGCATGCAGAAGTAAGCCGCGCTACGCTCACTCTCGGTTCTTCACTCATCGCGTCGGTGCGGTACCCTTACGGACGAGCGCCACTTTTTTCTTCCAGGGAGGAGATGAAGTGGCGTCAGTGGGCCGACGATTGGCTGGTGCACCTGATCTCGCCCAACGTGTACCGCAGCACCGGCGAGGCCCTGGCCTCCTTCGACTACATCGTGCGCGAGGGCAAGTTCGGCACCCTGGAGGGAGTCTTTGCCAAGTACATCGGCGCCGTCGCCATGTTCGTCATCGCCAAGCGCCTAAAGAGCCGGTGAGTGAGTCGCTGGTGATCGGGGGATCTTTTGGGGTTTTTTTTTTTTTTTTTGCTTTTCCAAAACAATTCATGACCCAAAAAAAAAAAAGGGGGGGTGGTTTTTGGCAATTCAACCCTCTGTTGTCAAGTTAAACATTTAGAGCAAAGCAAATGTTCAAGCTGTAATTTATTTCATTATTGTTGTAAGAATTAAGGGCCCCAAAAAAGAGGTGATGTGAACGGAATTCGACCTTTGGCACTGATTTTTTTTTTCAAATTCTGCCAAATATCGGAATCGACCGGCTTGATCGTAGACACAACCTTCAAGACGACGTGCGTCAGGACCTGTACAAGGCCGTTAACGACTGGGTGGCGGCCGTGGGCAAGCAGAGGAAGTTCATGGGTGGGCAAGGCCCCAACCTCGCCGACCTGGTGAGCAAACGCCGCAATGCCGACGCAGCCACATTTCATCAATCGGAGGCGTCCGGAACGAGGGTTTATTGTCAAAGCCATTTTCAAAAAATAAAACAATAAATCTGCTCTGTCACTTGCTTGTCCCCGGCAGGCCGTGTTTGGCGTCCTGCGTGTGATGGAAGGCCTGGAGGCCTTTGACGACATGATGGCCAACACCAAAGTGAAGCCGTGGTACCGCCGCATGGAGGCGGCCACCCGCAACCACGATGGGCGCTCGCAGTCGTCACGGTAACCGCGTTCTTCACCAAAAGACACCAAAACTGCTTTGCGGAGGGCATTGGGACTTCTTTTTGTGCGCAATATTGCCATCACGGGCGACACACGGTGGATTGTTACGGTTGATGTGTTCCTTAACGAGTCCCAATCAAAGGAGAAGAAAAAGTGTGAATTAACTTATTCATGTGTTGAGCTTCCCGGGATGCGGGATGATGCCACTGCCAGAGGAAGGCGCCCTGGCGTTGGCGTTTGTCCGAATGTAAAGACAAATAACAATGCGGTCAAATGTGCTTGTAAAAAGCTTCAATAAAAAAAAAAAAAAAAAAAGACTGGCGTCCGCTGTGTTTTTATTCAATGTGCGGTCAAATGTGCTTGTAAAAAGCTTCAATAAAAAATTTAAAAAAGACTGGCATCCGCTGTGTTTTTATTCAATGTTATATGTAAACTGATGATCATTTTGAAAAAATATTGTGAGCTTGAACAACGCATCTATCAATAAAATTTGATGTCAAATATGTATTTTATACGACGTACTTAACTGACTTTATATCCACCACCACCGCCTGGCCCCCAAACGCTGTCCAGCTATTCAAACTTTTTTTTCTCTTTTCCTATTTTTGCTCACCCAATCATGGCCAACTTTTTCTCAACCTGTTTTACTTGAATGTACTGTTGCGATTTTCCAAAACTTCAAAGCCATATTTTAACCTTTGTCTTTTCATAGCTGTTTACTTTTTCAAATGATTTGATATTCTTTCGAACCCAAAGCCTTTTATCTTATTAAAATCTATTTGGGGGCGATATTATATTCAATATTATATTGAACTGAAGAAGTCCAAACTCACCTCGGATTGGTCCTGCGGTTTTCTTGGAATGAGCTCGTCCATCGTCCCAAAACACGGGAACCGATCACCTTGCTGACTGTGTCTCAACTATAAACGGGAGGAAGGAAATCGCACCAAAATGAAATCGTGTGGCACGTGGACACGTTTATTTGTGGTACCCCCTCCCTCCCACTCAAAATGAAAGGAGAACTCGAGGGTAAAGTCTGTTGCGTTTGGGCGTCAGCTGTGGAGGAAAGTCTCGCCAAAGACGTTCCCGTAAGAGGTCTTGAGGAAGCGCACGTAGTTCTGCAGGCTGCGGTTGGTCTGGTCCGACTGGTCCAGACGCTCCTTCAGGTTCCTCAGTTGGTTCTGGAAGCGACGTTCCATCTGCAGAAAGGGAACACGTCGCCAGGCGTTAGCCTGCGCAAAGTCACCTGATTTCGCGCCGCCTCCTCGGCAACCTGAAAAACGAACGACGCTGACAACTGCCGGAAGCGCCTCACCAACCAATGCGACGACTATCCTCACTAACCCGACAACTAGCTGAGCTATATCGACGACGATCGTGACAACTCGTTGAACGACCTCAACAGCTACCTTGACAACAACGTTAAGAACGTCCTTGACGTCTGTCTACCTTTTCAGCTAGCGAGACAACAACCTTGATTTCCTCAATATTTATTTCAACCACCTCCGCAATTTCCTTGTCGAGCAGCTTGACAACGATTACGCTCTAACTTCGTTAGCACGTACCGCAAGGGGCGACTCTGTCCGCTCTAACGGCCTTGACAGCTTTCCAGACAACTACCGAGACAACGAGCCACGCCCTCTTAACGACGACAGTCCCTAATCACCTCGTCAGCTTGACAACTAACTAAACAGCTCGGCAATCACTCGGTCCACCCGAAGCACCTCGCCGGCTATTTTCACGGCAACGGCCTCGGAAAGGCGGTCGGGGGTCGGGCGACGGGAGGTCACCTCCTCCTTGCTGCGGTGCAGCTGACTGAGCTGCGCCTCGGCCCGGCTCAGCTGTTCCTGCAGGTCGAGGGCTTTGGACTGCGAGCGGCGCTCCTTGTCTCGGACTCTCTCCATGCTTTGGCGGGCCTGCTGCTGGGCGTCGTCCAGGGTTCGCTGCAGCTGCTGGGCCAGGACGGCGTTCTCGCGGCTTTTCTGCTCCAGCTGCTCCCCCACGCTATGCGCGCTGACCTCCTTCAGGGTCAGCGCCTCGCACATCTCCTTGTTTTCCACACGCATGGACTCCAGCTTCCTGCAGGAAAATACACACACACACACACACACACATGGTGATGATATTTCATCCATGCACCCATTTTCGAATCCACTTTATCCTCACAAGGGTCGCGGGGGGGGTGCTTGAGCCTATCCCAGCTGTCTTCGGGCATTAGGCGGGGGGACACCCTGAACCGGTCGCCAGCCAATCGCAGGGCACACAGAGACGAACAACCATCCGCGCTCACGCTCACACCTTGGGACAATTTGGAGTGTTTAATCAGCCTGCCGTGCATGTTTTTGGAACGTGGGAGGAAACCGGAGAAACCCCACGCAAGCACGGGGAGAACGCGCAAACTCCACACAGGAAGGCCGGAGCTGGAATTGAACCCGGTATCTCTGCACTGTGAGGCCGACGCGCTAACCAGTCGACCGCCATGCCGCTCTCTATTTCATATATTTTCTTATTATTCTTCACAATCTTAACCGGTATTGTCACAAAAGTGGCAGGCGTGCCGCAGTCTGTCCCAGTTGTACATATTTTATTCTTCTAAGCCCTCAAAATATTACAATCCGTAAGACAAGGAGACACTTCCAGGACCCAAAAAGTAGCAGACGGTGTGACAGGAAGCGGCAGCAGCAAGTTGTTGTTACCTTTCCAGGTTATGTAGCTTCTCTATGAGGACGTTGTTCTCCTCCTGCAGCAGCACGTTCCGACGCTGGAACGTCTCCAGCTGAGTGCCTTGTTGTTCCACCTGAAAAGCAACACAGATGAAGAAATATTCCAGTCTCGAGCACATGCAAAGACCACGCGTCTCCAAAGTTTGAGAGCATCCAAAGTCTAGGACATCCAAAAATCCAAACCATCCAAGGACCGGGAACATCAAAAGAAAGCTCGGAACACCCAATAAACTAGAAGATCACACGAAAAAACCCCTGAGTGGCCCAAAGGGAGACATCCACCAGATACAGAAAGATCCCGAGCACCCAGATACTTGCATAAAGAGAACTCTGGGACACAAAGGAAGACCATAAACACCTAGAAAAGCCAAAGCAAGCTCGAGGACACCCGCCTGAAGGCTTCCAGGGGTCTGGGCCATCCTTCCAGTACCTTGTGTCTGACTTCAGCAAGGGCGGCGTTGTGCTCCAGGTTCCTCCTCTGGTGAGCGTCGGCCTCCTGCTGCGCCTGCGCCAGGTGCTGCTCGCTCCTGCGCAGGCGCTCGGGAAGCGTTTCCAGCTGGCGCAGGCGCAGCAGCTCCTTCCTCAGCTGCTCCTGCTCCCGTTCCTGCGCCGCCAAGGCTTGCCGAGCCTCCAGCTGGACCTCGTCCACCTTCAGGCGCTGCTCCTCACACTGCAGGTCTGCCTGCTGAGCCTGACAGACATCGGATCCGGTTTGGTCCATCTGCTATGCTCCGGTCCAGTCCAAGATGGTCTAGTCGACTTTGCCACAGGCGAGTGTAATACTCTGCCACGATCAAGTGCGGGTTAAGAAAGTCGAAGCAAGCCTTGGCAAGGATGGGATAGTATTGTGCCGCATGTTACAGGATAACCTTGTCTGTCAATGTGTAGTTTGTCACCTGGAATCGGACAGTCTTATCCAGTCTAGGATTGGATCGTCTGTCAGTGTCTATTTTATAGTTGTTGTACAATTTAGGATAGTCCAGTACACTCGAAATTATCTTAAATTTGCACGCTAACATGCTACAACTCCTGCCCGTACTTGTGAAACCTCGATTGACAGATCCGTGTCGTGTACCCTTCGCTTGTATTTCTCCAACACAGCTTCCTGTTTTTGATACGACGCCCTGAGATGCCGCGTTTCCTCTTGAGCGACTCGCAGCTTTTCCTCGCCGGACGTCACCCGAGCCTGAATGAAAACACAACCCTTAATCCGCTTACCTGCGTGGCCTGTTACGAATTGCCGTGACGTCCGATACCTGCAAGGACTGTTTGTCAAGCACCATGGCGGTGTTCTGGGCACTCAAACGCTGGATCTGATCTCGGAGCTCCTCCCTCTCGCCGCGATTTCGCTCATCGGCCACGTGATGCTGAGCGTTCCACTCGCTCACTTGCCTGAGAGAAGGGAAAAGACAGTCCCGTCTATCATACTCCAATACGGCAATCGTCTAGTCTGGCATAGTCTAGTACAGTGGTTCTTAACCTTGTTAGAGGTACCGAACCCAACCAGTTCATATGCACGTTCACTGAACCCTTCATCAATGAAAAAACAAAAATATGACTTTTTACAAATTCTATACTAGCACGACAGTCACACACGTTGACGACCGAGCGAACTAAATTTCTCCCAGCACTGATTGGACAAGCAATGTCATGTGATCGTCTGCAGCCAGTGATGGCCAAGCCGGCGTGTCATAACTAATTGACATGTTGAGTCGATGTCTTAACCTCCTTGGCAGAGGCTGAGTACCATAGTATGGTCGAATATGCTATACTGTACTGTACGGGTATATTTGTCATTGTACAGTCAGCGGCTTAGGGTAGTCGTAATCTTGTCTCGTCGAATGGAATGGTATGGCACTGCGTGTACTCACAATTTGAGGGCCGCGATGTTGTCCTCCAACTGACTTCTGGCCGCGGCCTCCTTTGAGATGCGCAGACGCAGCTCGCTACACGTGGACAATGCCTGCGCCAGTTGGGACTCCTTCAAAAGCAATGGAAGGTGATCCCGGTTACCTTCTCTTGCAGCATCTCGTCTAGTCATAGTCTCGACTTGTACTCGTGTTATTGAGAATAGTCCAGTAATATTGATAGTCTAGTATTGTAAGAGTCTAGAATGGCACTCGTCCCTAGTGAAGTAATAACGCAGTCTTGTATATATATTTGATAGTCTAGTATTGTAAGAGTCTAGAATGGCACTACTTCCGAGTGAAGTAATAATGCAGTCTTGTATATTTTCTTGCGTACCTTCTCCTGCAGTTTGACTCCCATTTGCCTGGACGCTTCCTCGGCCTGCTCGGCATGCTGGGTAAGCATCGCCAGGGCTGCCTCATCGTCGTTTTCCCGCCGCTGCTCGTAGGTCTGCTGTAGATGCTGATTTAGAAAAGGCTGGAGTTTAGTATATGGCGATAGACTAGTCCAGTTGAGTCTACTTAGTCATAGTCTAGTTCAGGCTAGGGTAGTCAAAATAGGAATAGTGTAGCTTCATATGAATACATTATAATTTGTCATATTCTGGTCTAAAAGAGTACTTTTTCATAGAATCGTCTATTGTAGTCCAGTCTGGTCGTAGACCATTCTGGTCTATGCCAGATTAATAGCACAGCTAAATTTAGCCTAGTCAAGGATGGTCAAGTCTTGTGTCATTGAGTCTCGTGTCGTATCGTCTGGTACATCATCGCATAGCCTAGCCTAGCCTAGCCTAGCATCGTGGAGCGGTTGATCATCGTGCATTTTAATTTGAAAGTGGACCTGCAGCTGAGCGGCCATTGTGGCTTTTTCAGCTTGTACTCGACTGAGCTGAGACTCCAAATGGTCCCGAGTAGATGCCAGGATCCTGGACAGCTCCTCCGTGGTCTTGGCATGGTCCTGACAGGGAAGACAGAGAGATAAACATGTGGGCATCCACACTTTCTGCATTTCACCAAATGTGTTTGTAACATGCTTCGTGTAACAGACCAGTGGTCCTCAACTAATCTACGACGCAATAAAATAGTCCGGTCGAGTCTAGACAAGGATGGAGTTCTTAAATCTTATATAGTTGATCTTATTCCAGCCTATTCCAGTTCTTGGAAAGTTATCGTCTATCATAGTCTGGTCTAACCTGCAGATGGATACTTACAGTCTAGTCTTAGTTTGTACATAGTCTAGACTAGTAATAGTCTAGTCATCATAGTCTTTTGATAATCTAGTAAAATATAGTATTGGTCTGGTATAGTTATAGTTTGGTCAAGTCTAGTAATAGGCTCGTCCACTCTAACAATAGTCCAGTTGTTCCCATGATTTAGTCCATAGTCTACGCAATAGTTTCACCTCGTGGTCTCGTCTTGCGTAGCCTCTTCTCGTCATCAAGTATTCTACTCTGAACCGTTGCCTATTCCAGTATAGTCTCCTATAGCAGCGGTCTAGTCTAGAACGGACTAGCAAAGCCGATACTGTAATGTTAGGAAGGTGTTTCGTAAGTATTTCCAGACCTTTTCAAACTCCAATGACTCTGTGAGCTGGGAAGCTTCTTTCTCCTTGCTGCACAGTTTGGACACAAGTCTCTGGGAGACACAAAAATTTCAAAGCATCTGTTCTCTGAACGCGTTCCACACAGCAAGGTGATGGTCATAGGTGTGCTGATGCTGCTTGTGGTGGTGATGGTTCGGTTGATGGTTCAAGTTGTGATTATGGTCACGGTCCTGATTATGTTCTGGTCGTTCCGGTCATAGTGATGGTTAAGATCCTCACTATATTCTCAGCCTCGACGTCGGCCAACCTCCTCTTGAATGCTTCGTTCTCCTCAGAGTGTCTCTCTGCTTCGCTCTGCTAAAAGGAGGAAGAACACGTTCAGTCGTACTGTACTACGACTGCTCCACTCAAGCATAGTCTAGACGAGTACAGCTGTGGTGGAGTGAACTAAAATAATGGTTTACCGTAGTTCAGTGTTGTATAGCAATAAGAGAGCAGGGTCTGGTCAAGAACAGCATATTGCAGTAGTCTATTTTGTCTAGTCTATCGAGTGTCTAGTGTAGTATATTCAAGTATTGGAGTCTACTGTGGCATAGTCTGGTCTTCTACTCTACTAGACTAGAAGTCTGGTCCAATATATCCCAGATTAGGATCGTAAAAGTAATGGTTTAGCATAGTCTGGCCTCGTCGTAGACTATTCTAGCATAGTCTAGAACCTTACGCCTTGAAAACACTGATTGTACCTGGTGATGACTCCAGTCTCTGAGGAGGTCCCTGAGGCTGTGGTTGGTGTTGTCAAAGATCTCCATCTTCTCTATGAGAAGCTGCCGCTGCCGTGTGAGTGCGGACGTTTGGCGTTTGGATGGGTGCCTGTCCTGCGGAACCCACCTCCATCTTGTTAGTGTCTGCCGCCATCGACCGTATAAAGACCTTGCCATCATATTTTTAAACAATAGGTGCCAAGGTACTTCTGGATGACAGAGAGTCAGTGACAACTTACATGTTGAAATGTGAATTATTTAAAATTTATCTCCAATAGGATCTTATTTTCAACTGACAAGTCATACATTCTAACTAGGGCGGTAGAGAAGAAGACTAGAATCATCATTCAAACTGGTTATCCTATGCTCTCAATAACGCCTTGGTCAAATGCCATAGAAGAGTTTGTTTACGACTGATGCAAATTGAATTTTGCCACATGGAAGTACGTCCAATGCCAAAAGGTCAAATTACCTTAGCCAGACTGTCCAGGGTTTCCTTGAAGGAGGTCAATTGGTTGGCCACCGCCACGCCATCCACCTCTGCCTCCACCAGAGCTCGCAGCAGGACCTCCGTCTTTGCGGGCGGGACCAGTCCACTGACGTGCATACAAATCTCCTTCAGAGCTAGAAGATTTCGTAGTCTCGCGTAATGTCTACACGAGCGTAGTCATAGTCCAGCCTGTACGGTAGTAGTCTTGTATGGTTTAGTCTACGAGTCAAGCATATTCTAGTCAAGTACTTAAATAGACAGGCGGGCATGGTCTGGTGTAATAGTCTAGTCTAGCAGGGAAATACTCCATTCTAACATAGAGTAGACTCTATGATCGAGTAGTATTCCGATAGTCAATGTATTGTACTTGTCTTTCAAATTCTACAATTGTAATAGAACTCATAGTCAGGTGTAGTCTAGTAATAGTCTGGCATAGCCTATTCTGTCAAAGCAATGGTATAGTCTACTTAAATAGCCTGGCATAGGAATAGTCTTGTTCAAAATAGTCTAGTATAGCAATAGTCGAGTTGTGCATTGTCTCATCTAATCATAGTTTAGCTGATTGTCTATTCTCGTCTAATAGTAATACTTTGGCATAGTCTAAAGCCGTCTAGAACTAGTCTTGTCCAAGATAGTCTGGTCAAACATAGTCTAATCTAGCATAGTCTTGTCTACTGTAGGATAGTCTAGTACAGTGACAGTTTAGCATACTCTCGTCAAGTAGCACTGTAGTCCAGCAGAGCAATAGTCAAGTACAGTATAGTTCACCCTACAAGTAGGCTACTCAAGTAGTGTTTTTAGAACACACCCGCTATTGCACTATTAATTAATTTGACTCGACTTGACTAGCAGAGTGCAGTAGAGTCTAGCACAGGTTGTTCTCGTACAAGTGTATCCATGCATAATCTAGCACTACTCGGTGTATCGTTCGTTGCGTGTTACTTGTTTGAACGCTGGCTGTTTTCTTGCTCTTTGAGCAGCAGGCTGAGGTTCTTCCTCAGCGTCATGGTGTCATCGTCCTGCTCATCAGTTTCCCGCCGAGCATTCTCTGACGGCACTCGGCTTCTCTGCACAAACGACATTAAAAACACAAGACAAATAAGACATACATCATACAGTATGCTGATGTTTAAACAATCTGAAAGAGAGACCTGATCTCGTCTGCAAGACGAGATTCCGGGAGGGATCCAAGGGGCTCGACCTGTAGATCTCCCACGCTCCCCTCTCACCTGAAAATCTCTACTCCCCTCCTGCACAACAACAAATGCAACCATAGTTTAGGACAGGAATTGTCGATCCTGAGATGGTCTAGTACAGTAATATTCAAGTCTAATGCAACAATCGTCAAGTCTAATACAGTAAAGGTTGAATAAAATTTTCAACATAGTCTATCCCAATACTAATCTAATCTAATACAGGAACAGTCTTGTCAGGCAGAGTCTAGTACAGCAATAATGAGGACAGTTAATTTGTTTTTTTTTTTTAATTAATCCATGTGATCACGACGCCAAAAACATTGATAGATTAAATGGAATAATTTCCCGGCCCCAGTGTATCAAAGCAACAGCAGTCTAAAATATTCTGCTCTATCATAGTATTGTAATAGTCTGGTCTAGCATAATGTAGTTTAGTAATTGCTGATTATATGTTAGTCTATTGCGGTATTAGTCTAGTCTACAATAGTCCGGAAAAGTTAAAGCCTAGTCAAAATAGGTGTTGTACAGTAATAGTTCAGGCTAACATTGTCTAATTTAGTAGGAGTCTACTACTCTAGTGCAGCATGGTCTCATCTACGGGTTCCATGCTCTCCTACAGTAATAGTCTCTAGTCCAGGGGTGTCAACCTCATTTTTTTGTCGCAGGCCACTTCGGAGTTACGGCTTCCTTCGGAGGGCCGGTGCAAAATCTCAACGTTATTTACTACCCATGAAAATTTTACATTTCGGTACAGATTTCAGCAGGAATCAGGACAGTTGACACACATGATTTGCTCCCGCGGGCCACATAAAATGACGTAGGGGGCCGGATCTGGCCCCCGGGCCTTCTTGTCTACTGTAGGATAGTCTAGTACAGTGACAGTTTAGCATACTCTCGTCAAGTAGCACTGTAGTCCAGCAGAGCAATAGTCAAGTACAGTATAGTTCACCCTACAAGTAGGCTACTCAAGTAGTGTTTTTAGAACACACCCGCTATTGCACTATTAATTAATTTGACTCGACTTGACTAGCAGAGTGCAGTAGAGTCTAGCACAGGTTGTTCTCGTACAAGTGTATCCATGCATAATCTAGCACTACTCGGTGTATCGTTCGTTGCGTGTTACTTGTTTGAACGCTGGCTGTTTTCTTGCTCTTTGAGCAGCAGGCTGAGGTTCTTCCTCAGCGTCATGGTGTCATCGTCCTGCTCATCAGTTTCCCGCCGAGCATTCTCTGACGGCACTCGGCTTCTCTGCACAAACGACATTAAAAACACAAGACAAATAAGACATACATCATACAGTATGCTGATGTTTAAACAATCTGAAAGAGAGACCTGATCTCGTCTGCAAGACGAGATTCCGGGAGGGATCCAAGGGGCTCGACCTGTAGATCTCCCACGCTCCCCTCTCACCTGAAAATCTCTACTCCCCTCCTGCACAACAACAAATGCAACCATAGTTTAGGACAGGAATTGTCGATCCTGAGATGGTCTAGTACAGTAATATTCAAGTCTAATGCAACAATCGTCAAGTCTAATACAGTAAAGGTTGAATAAAATTTTCAACATAGTCTATCCCAATACTAATCTAATCTAATACAGGAACAGTCTTGTCAGGCAGAGTCTAGTACAGCAATAATGAGGACAGTTAATTTGGTTTTTTTTTAAATTAATCCATGTGATCACGACGCCAAAAACATTGATAGATTAAATGGAATAATTTCCCGGCCCCAGTGTATCAAAGCAACAGCAGTCTAAAATATTCTGCTCTATCATAGTATTGTAATAGTCTGGTCTAGCATAATGTAGTTTAGTAATTGCTGATTATATGTTAGTCTATTGCGGTATTAGTCTAGTCTACAATAGTCCGGAAAAGTTAAAGCCTAGTCAAAATAGGTGTTGTACAGTAATAGTTCAGGCTAACATTGTCTAATTTAGTAGGAGTCTACTACTCTAGTGCAGCATGGTCTCATCTACGGGTTCCATGCTCTCCTACAGTAATAGTCTCTAGTCCAGGGGTGTCAACCTCATTTTTTGTCGCAGGCCACTTCGGAGTTACGGCTTCCTTCGGAGGGCCGGTGCAAAATCTCAACGTTATTTACTACCCATGAAAATTTTACATTTCGGTACAGATTTCAGCAGGAATCAGGACAGTTGACACACATGATTTGCTCCCGCGGGCCACATAAAATGACGTAGGGGGCCGGATCTGGCCCCCGGGCCTTGACTTTGACACCTGTGGTCCAGTCTATCGTCGTCTAATCTTGTACAGTAATCGTCTCCTCCGCCGTAGTACTCGTCTACCACAGGAGACTATATGACCAACTACATGGTCTTGGTGGATAAACAAACTACAAATTAATGCAGAATGTGTGATAAATTAAAAATATCTGATACAATTAGATGTATTTCTAGTTCTATTCACCTGCGGGGTCCTGTTGGGGCTCCTTCTCATGTGAACATGCACGGGTGTGCTCTCCACGACGTGGACGTGAACGGGAGAAGGAGAATGTCTCGTTCTCATTTTTCCCCAATGTCAAACTGAACCTCATTACACGTTTTACCAAAAGAAACAACCTCTCAGATTATTTTCTATAAAAAAAAGCATCACTGCGCGACGAGAAGACATGTTTTTAAACGTAAAAGTAACAACTACGAGCAAACTCTTCCATCAAGTGTTCGGAGCGACAAACCAACGCTTCCCGATTGGTCGTGCGGAAAACATATGCGCACTCTGATTGGTTGATTTCAAGAATCTGGTTCAGTGATTGGCGGATATGCATTTTGATCGTTGTTGCCCGTAGTTACTGCTACAGTCAGAGACGGATGTTTTCAAAGGTATCCAATTCACAATTTGAAAAAAAAATGTGGGCTGAATTGTGTTTTTTTTAACATATTAATCAAACGTTGCACTTCAAATGACCGCGCGTGGTTTTCCGGAAGTGGCAGTAGCATCAAATCAAACGTCATGATGCACATTACGCAGTTAACGAGGCAAATGGTGGATCAATGTTTTCTGTTATTTTTTACTCGAGACGCCTTGTATGTTTTATTGTCTAAGGTTATTTGTAGTTTCGTTTGTTGTTTATGTATGTTTATTTGCAATAATTGTAAATGTTGACATGATTAAATAAAGATTTCGGTACGGAAAAAAAGAGGGAAGTTACTCATTTCCGGGTATGACCTAGCATAAAACAATACTAAAAGTCCACACAATCGTATCGTTAACCTGTGGATGTTTTGTAAACGCGTGCATAACGTGCCGTGTCAAAAGAGACTTTTTTAATTAACCCAAAAGTTTTGGGGAGTGGTTAATTGCTTCGGCATTACAGTTGTCAATGCTAAAAACAAATGGTGCTAACGGCCCGCGGTAGGTGCCTGGCGACGGTTGTATCCATGCGCCACTGACTCGATCGCACTGAGGCCTCGTCCACAAAATGGAAATAATCTCGTGTGTGTTTCTACTTGTGGCTGCCGCGTGCCGGCCCGCCGCGGCGTGTGCCGCCGCCACCGAGGCGGGGAAAACGACCAGTGCCGACACTCTCTTTCTGTGTCGGGAGTGCGGACACGAGTTGGCCTTCAGCTCGGACACCATCGGCACCGTGCACAGCCGCATGGCGTTGTCAGGCCGCAATCACACGCTGCCCGGAGGTCGGCGTATACGCATCCAAACGTTCGAGAACCCGCACGGCCTCCAGTTTGAAGTGGTCACCTTCCGCAAGGCGGACGTGGACAAGCGGTGGCCGGCAGAGAGGCACTTCTCCTGGTTCCCGGGTTTCTCCTGGACTGTGGCCTCATGTCCGCAGTGCAGGGCGCACTTAGGTGGGTCGAGGCCATATCTACGTCCGCTGCTCGTGTTGAAAAGGAAATAGAGACGAACAAAATGTTTCAATCAAAATGCCATGAAAAATGTATTTTCAAATTAAAAAAGTTGTCTGTACATACAAAATGTACATTTAATGCAAAATTTAAATTAAATTTTCTATTCAGTAACAATCCTGAAAGGAAAGTGTAAATATTTCCATGATAAACAGTATTTTGAAAAAGTTTAAAATCATACTATTCACCACTTTTCATTTGTCTTAAACTCTCAGCGGGGACGTTCTTGCGCATCAAACAGCATTTTCTTGCAGTCACGAAGCAGTTTTGTCTTCAAGGTTGGGCCTTCCAGCCGAGCTCTTGGCCTGCCACCATCACGTCGTCAGCCTTCGAATCTTCAGACCAGACCTTCCTAGCTCTCATTGTAAAACGCCTGCTGAGTGAGGACTTTGCCTCCAGCCTGCTCATCACCCCCAAATCCTTCATCAGCTGACTACTGTGTTTGAACACTCCCACACACGTGGATATACACATGAACATTTTATTATTGAATCAAAAAGTAAGTTTACACCTCAAACAGTTTCTTTCCCCACCGTTGAGCGGAAAAAGGAAGGTGAAGCCGGGATTTTTTTTTTTATATCCATGAAGTGAGCATTGGGCGGGGGGCCAAAATTTACAAGCTTTTTTTTCCCATTTTGTTCTTTATTAAAAATGTCATTTCAAATTCCATGGATATCTGTAAAACAATACAATGAAAACAAACGAAAAAAATGTCCCATAGAAATGGTGTCAAAATAACCACTCTGTTGCACCCCCCACCCCCCGGTCCACTTACCCTCCCTCCCATACTAGTAGCCAACATGCTTCCCCTCCCTCTTAATTAACATGAAAGGAATGAGCTGTTGGGGGAAGAAAAAAAAAATCTTCCAAAAATAAAAAAAGATAATGATGAGGTCTGCTAGTGCTAAGGTGACTACACCATGGCTTCTTCTCACCACACCTGGAAACAGGAGCACATCTGTGGGAAGTATCTTCAAATTCTACGAGATTCTATTTTTTTCTCAATTATTTATTATTATGTAATATCTTTAACAAGAGAGCAAGGAGAGATGAACCCCGGGGGCTGTGTACGTACGTATACTCACAATTGGGGGAGAAAAAGTGCCGCCGGCCTTTTCTTTAGAGAGAGAAAATGGAACCCGCGGGTGAAGGAGAAGGCTTCCGAATGTCAAAAATGAAGCGCACGCATGGACTTAAAACAACGACAAAAACAAAAAATGAACAGCAAAAATAAACCTTTGCTCCCGAACATGACTAAACGTGATAAAGCAAATGGGGGACTAGAAAGGCGAGGAGGGCGCGGCCGGGCTTCTCAGTCATCTTCGCCCTCGTCGTCCTGCGTGGGACAATCAGCAAATTAGTCGTTGCTAGCGTCACAAAAGGCAAAAATAAAATGACTCGCTTGTTACTACCTCTCCGTCTTCCCCGTCGTCATCGTCGTCGTCTTCTCCGTCCTCGTCGCCCTCCTCATCGATGTCCTCCAGCCCTTCCTCGTCCTCTTCGTCCTCCTCACCTTCGCCTTCCTCGTCGTCCATGTCGGGGACCTGATGACCGCGACGCTTTAGCACTCAGTTCTGTGGTTTTTTTCAGGGAGAGGTGAGGGGGGTGGCACATACCAGGTAGTACTGCAGCGGGTTGGGCCAGATGTCATCCTTGATGACCTCGCCCAGCTCGTCTGCACCGGCATCGGCGTGGTCAGTGAACCAGGTGAAGAAGCTCTCTGGCTCTTCGTGTTGCCTCTTGCGGCCCGCTTTGTTCTGTGTCTGGCTTGAGCGCTTGGTCAGGTCCTTACCCAAAAACACAAACGAATTGTTATTTCGGCAGGGGCACACCAACCACAAATGTGGCTACAATATTTGCCTCCAAATTATACGATTTATTGGCAGATATTAGCTCACCTCGAATCCGCAAAAATGATGATGTTCAAACACCTTGGCCCAAAAAGTTATTTTTTGAAAATATTATTTGAGGTAACGCTAAACACTCAAAGGATTGAAAAATAGTCAAACGTCTGTAAGTCAAATCTTTATTATTGTAAACATCAGAGGACTCAAAAAGGAGCGATCTCATTCAGTAGGGATGTTCAACTTTTTTTAAACTCAATTTCTTTTAACAAAGCGACAAAATTGTGAGCAAAGACCACCCTTTCTGGTGCAGACGATTCACTGATGTGTCAAACTGCTGTAGTATAGCAACAGCTATTGCAAAGGAGTACTTAATGTCAGGCTTAATAGAAGTATCGATGACTGGTATCAACAACGCCCGCGCTAACCCGATACCTTAAAATAAGGCCCGTCCTAATACCCAGTATCACTACTTCTCAATCCCTATTTTTCAGTATTTATTTTGTAAATGAATCGGTTCAACTGCCAAATATCAATAGGGCCGTCCAAAAAAAAAAACAAAAAAAAACATACATATGGGGTATGCACACTTTGGGCCTTACCTTTCCTGATTTCCATTTGATTTCCGTCGACTTTGAAGACGGGTCGCCGCTCTCGTTCAGGTGGAATTCTTTGGAAAGGACTTTGTTTTCAAAGTACGGGTTCTCGTCGAAATACTGCGAGAAAAGCAAGCGCGGTGTTAAGGCCGCCACCGTTTTGTGCCAAGGGTGAGAATGACTTCAAGATGTACTTACAAAATCTATTCTGTAACCTGACTTTATGTCTTCAAACTCTGTCACCTCCACTCGGCTCAGGTAGTGAAGCGCCTCCTCATCCTCTTCCCCCAGTAGGGCAGATACTGCGGGAGACAATTTCAAATGGCGTGAATAAAGGCTACGGCGGCAGCGGGGGAGCCGTCGGATCATGCGGCTCGGCGTCCCGACCTTGCGGATGGTTGACAAATGTGGTGACCCAAAAGTTGGGGATTTTGGCGATCAGTTCCGATCTCTTCTGAAAGAACGGCTGGCGGAGTTTGTTGTACTTCTGTTCTACTTTCAGGATCTCCTCACTGGCCTGCTCGTTCAACCTGCTCACACACACAAAAAAAAATAATTTCAACACAATTCCCATGTGATCAGAAAAACGCCAAAAATCATTCAGATTTTTTTTTTTAACTGATTCAATTAACTTCATTAGAAAAATAACCTTTTTCTTTGCACTTGTGTTCATGGAACACTATTTGCCATAAAATATCAATTATGAGCTCGGTCAAGGTTCTCCTCTCGAAAGGCTACTTGAAACTCTCATTAAGTGTGATTATTGAAAGTAAAAGTTTTGCTTTGTTCATCTTAAAGGTGATAAGTGATTTTCCAAGGTTAATTTGGTAAGCAAAATGATCATTTGCCTTCACAAATCTGACTGACAGGACTATTTTGTAGTGTGCCATTCATTTTCAATTCCAAACCGAAACTTTTCTAAACAAAACTTTTAAAAGCAGTTTGAAAAGTTCAATATCAGTAAGGACATTTCAATCCGCTTTGACTCTAGTGCATTCATTATTTTTAAAACTAAAATCTAGTTTTGGCTAGGCTTTTTTGTGTTGACTCGTAGTTTCCGGATAGGAAATTGCTACAAATGTGTTGGAGTTAGTGCAGGTAAATGGTGGTATAATTCAAAATTATTGTTCTGAAGAATAGAGGTATTGTTTTTTCAATGGTAGCGTTGCATTTGCATATTTCTTTTCGTGCGTACAAATTTAGCCAAGTAATTGTTAGTGGAAAACACCATTCGATATCCATTCTACAGATATTAAAAAGTAACTAACAAACCTCTCACTTTGTGCTTATTCATGCTGCTTGTGAACACAAAATAAGGGGGGGATCATGTACGCACCCTGGGGGAGGGCGGCTAAACAATTCAATTACCTGTCGATTTCATTTTGAACTTCATCAATGTGTTCGATAGCTTCTTGCTGCTCTTTCTCTGTTGGAGGCGAAAGAAAACAATGTTAGAAAATTGCACGTTGGATTTCTCCGGAAAATACATTTTAGGTCCGTGAACGTGGCGGCGGCGGAGGAGAGGCACACGCAAGGTTGCGTTCACGGCCAATCGCGGGATTTGTGGCTCGTTGTTTCCTGCCGGCTGCTGGCCGCCTGCGAGGCCGCGTGGTTTAAATGTGGGACACACGACTCGACTGTTCCGAGTGCAACGCAGCCGTGGGAGCTAGCTAGGGAGCTAGAACCCCGCCGAAAGAATCATTCAGCCCCTAATTTATCTCGCTACTCTCCGTTTCCTTAGCGGGGAAAACTAGTGAATTACGCATTTTTACAAATTGCTTTTAAACGCAACCAAAAACGTCGTCGGAATAGCGTTAGGTAACCACTACATCAACAACACGCTAGCACACGCGCTAGCGAGCAAAACGCCAACAAATGAAAGGGACTGCTTTCATTTGGGCGCTCGTGGAACGTCACAATGGTCTCAAAAATCGCAATGAACTCGCAAGTAAATGCACGCAAGACCAACTCGTGAGGCTCAAACGCCAGCTAACGAAGCTAAATGGAGGAGGAAGAGGGGGGTTAACATGGCTTCCCCCGTGCCCGACAACAGCACGCTAAGCTAACAAAACGAGCCGCAGTGCGAACGAGCGGAGGCCAAATGGTCGAATTTGAACAAAAGCCCGAGCCAATGCCCACGAAAGACGAGGCGCGCGAACAAAAGCGCAGTGAGGGCACGCGTGGAAAATGCGTTGCGGGGAAGAAAGTGAGGGGGGGAAAATGGCGGTGAAACAAGCAGGCCGCCATGGCGCTTACCGGAGGTCTCGTCCGCTCCGTCGTGGTTCGAGTTGAGCTCCTTTTTACTCACTTTTGCCGCCGAGGCCGACATGTTTGGTCGCGAGGGGAGCAAATAATAAGAAGCCGGGTCGGGGTCGCGGGGGGTTTTGTTCTCGAGAGAGAACGAGAGCGCGGCTCAATGGGCGTAAAGTTGAGGCGAGATGAGAGGAAAAAAAGCAACCAACGTGCTCCTGGCGTGCGCGCACACACAATGTGAGTGAGCGAGCCCGCACAAAGTAAGATAGGAGACGCTGGTAGGAGAATCGATACCAGACGTCGACCACGTTGCGTTTGATACGAGCTGATACCGGCGTGATGAACAAAACATCGACGTGTTGTTTGTGTTCCAAAGGAATTGTTAGCAATTAAAAATAAAAGTTGTTATTTTATTTGCGTTTCATTTACCATTGTCTATATATTTATTGCCCTCTGCTCACCTTTTTTAATTCTAAAAAAATCTATTTGAGTATGATGTTTTAAATGTGTATTTTCTTAATACTATAATAATAATATAATAGCTTTGGATTTTTCATTATAGTTTTTATTTTGGTTTGACTTTTAACACATTGTATTTATTTAGGTTTTTTTTTAGAACAGGTTTGTGAGTTTTTACTCATTATTACAATTAGCTTTCTCTACATGAAGTATTTGCTGAGTGCAAGATTTAAAAAAAAAAAAAAAAAGTATATTGGAAATAAAGTAAACTACAATTCCCAAAACCAAAATTGAAGTGCCCTGTTACCTGTGTATTTTTTTCAGGTTGTGACATTTTTTGAAACAAAAAAATTGAATCACTGCATTGTGTTTAGTGTCAACAATAAAAAGTCTCAAGCGTGTCGATATATAACGCACAATCAAAAGGTCAAGTACACAAAGATCTTCAGGCATTTTGGCGCAGAATCATGAGGATTTTTGTTAACTCAACTGTATTTGTAGAGCACTTTCAAACAGCCATCGCTGCATACAAAGTGCTGTACATGGAACAACTAACATATACAACAGTAAAGCAACAAATCGGTAACAAAGACGGTAGAAAGCACCGAACAGCAAAACCAAGAACAAATTTGAATCATGCTGAGTCAAATGCCAAAGAATATACAAGTGAGTTTTAAGACCAGAAGTCCTGATCATCTGCAGACACGATATAATATTTTGGCATGGCATCGCAAATCTTTTAAGGATATGGCAATGGTGATACCACTGTATCTTCTTATTCAAGAAATTTCGAGTAGTAATGATTTGAGGTTGTTTCAGCATTGTCTTGTTTGCTTGAGATCGATACTTTGTTTCTTTCACTCAACTCAAATGTATTTATAGAGCACTTTAAAAGAACCACTGTTGTCTACAAAGTGCTGTATATGGTGCAAAAATAATTCGTACAACAAACAATAAAACAAGAAATTAATAACAAAGACAGTAGAAAGCACACAAAGTTGTAATTAATGTATTTCTTTCAGTTTTTTTTCCTGAACACACATTCAACAGCTTGAAAAATATGTGCAACAGATGGAGACGTATATAGTAGAAATCATTTGTGTTGCTTCTTTTGTCATGAGTGATGAAAAAAGATCGATTGACGAACAATTCCATGCACTTTAATAAAATGACAGTGAATAATTTTCCGACTCAGAAAATACTTTCTGCACAAAGACTTTTATTCGGGAAAATAAAGTGATTTGTATTTAACCATAAACTTTGCACAGAAGATTTCAAAAGTCATAATACAAGTAAGTACAGTCATCCTGTAATTAATAACGTAGGAAATTAAAGCAAGTATCTGAAAAGAAGCGCCCCCACCCCCGAAAAGGAAAAAAAAAAAGGAAATAGAATTAGCACCAATCCGTATTGATATCGGTGAAACTGACGACACACATTTTGGTGTGGCCTCGATGACATATGTTTCAGTATCGCGCACTACTAACAGAAGCCCGCCCCCAAGAGAACCGCCTCCCGCTCGCCGCTGCCGCCTGCCCACCAGTCAGGAAGTCGGCCGAACTCCGCCTCTCAAAATAGGGCCCCGTCCGAGCATCCCTAGACCCCCACAAATCGCACCCAGACGTTGTCGGCTAACTCATATAAAAATCACAATAAAAATGTGATAACGTAAGCCCCAAAAAGGACGACGCTTTCCCCACGTCAAGTCAACGTATGCGGATCGATGATGTGTCTTTTATGACTTGATCCTTGCCTGCCGCCTATTTAAGCTTCTTAATGGGGCTCGTCAGCCGCGGGTTGCCTTGAAGGGCTAATTGCGACAAGGCTTTGCTGTTTTAAGTGGCCACGTTAATTACATTCGTCAGTCACTTCACACGGAACGGCAACACGGCCCTGCTTCCAGTCGTCACTTCATGTTTACACAGCTCATTTGGTACATTAAACGGTTGCAAAAATACACCAAATCTAAGTTCAGGTTCAGAGGTCCCTGTGGTTTCAAGGTGATTGAGGCAACGTTTCATCTGTCAATTTAAAAGGTTTACAAGACTGAAGTAGTGACTCAAAAACAAACTTCATACCACGTCTTTACGTATTTAATGAGGTACACCAAAATGTGGTAGAATATGGCAGATGAATGCGGAAATCGATATGATACTTACAGTTTCAGGCCGTCCCTCAACACCAGACCAGCCAGCTGTAATGACCGTTTGCGACTTACTGTAGAAGTTGTGCCATTTCGTCCATCCCTTCATACATAAAAACAACACGCCTTCTTCCGGTTTTGACTTTATGGTTGTGTATGTCATTAGCCACATCCAAATGTGGCAAAATATACCACAATGGTTATTAGTTTTGAAATGCAACTTAAAGACGGATAATAAAAAGAACATAGGAATCAAATCAAGATCCAATTACAGTGTACTGCCCATAAATGTTCTGTAAAAAATTGTACCAAAATGAATGTTTTTTGGTTTGAAAATCGACTCGTGATCACAGCCAGGAGCAACGGTCTTCTTTTATTTCATTATCAAATCTGTTTAGTGTACTGCCCCCTGATGGCCACACCACGAGGCGCAGCACAAACCCATTAAATTATCATGCGGCAGAAACGGTTTAATACACTAATTTACTGAACCGTTTATCCTCACAAGGGTCGGGGGCGTGCTGCATCCGATCCCAGCCGTCTTCGGCCAGTAGGCGGGGGACACCCTGAACCGATTGCCACCCAATCGCAGGGCACACATATCAACGATCAACCATTCACGCTCACACCAAAGGACAATTTAGTGTGTTCCATTAACCTGCCATGTATGTTTATGGAATGTGGGAGGAAACATGTACGGGGAGAACATCCAAACTCCACACAGAAATGCCGGAGCCGGAATCGAACTCTACACCTCTGCACTGTGAGGCCGATGTGCTAACCAGTTGCCCACCGTGCCGCCCAGGGTTTAATTCCTTTGCTGCCATTTAATTAAGCTATGTATATTTTTGTAAAGTACGTATGTTGGTATAAGTATATGTCTAGGCACAATAGACACCCACACATCAAATATATCTTACTAAAAAAAAAAAAAAAAACACACATGACAAACATTTTTTTTCCAGAGCTACATACATGTTTCTGGTCAGACTAAATCCAAAATGAACATGACATTCCTTTCAATTGTGTTTTCATTAGAAGGTGTTCCTGATGAGGTGTCCCGTGTTTTTTTCTGGCCTTTTCTCATGTGAACATGCGGCCCGGCCCGAAGCCAGATCGGTGCTGGCACCCGACAGAACTCCCATCCCATCTTCATCCTCCTCCTCCTCCTCTTCCTCGTCCTCAAGGAGAGCAGATTAGCTGTGGCAGTGTTGTCGGATGGAGCAGGAAGCGGATGCGGCGGGACGTGAGGAGGCAGACGGGATTGAGGAGGAGGAGGAGGCTCTCAAGGAGAGTGAAGGTGGCGAGGCAGGACTGTTCTCTCCGAGGGTGATGACATATTTCTTAGTCCTACTGGAGGGACAACATCACGAAGAGGTAAGCTCTCTATATTCACAGCCATCTTATTATTACATTGTTTTATCATTTTTTGTGTGTGTGTGTGTGTGTGTGTGTGTGTGTGTGTGTGTGTGTGTGTGTGTGTGTGTGAGAGAGAGAGACAGTGATTATTTAAAGGCAAAACCGTGATTTCAGACAGTCCCCAAAGGCGAGATAAAATTATACAATTTTTTTTTTGGGGGGGGGGGGGCGTGGAAATTTAAGATTTCAGACTGTCCCTAAGGGAACGCCTGAATTGGTCAAGGGGTTAAAATCAAACTAAACGACTGTGGTGTGAGGGCAACCATGTTTTGGGACGGTCTCTCATGGAAACACAACACTTGATCGAAGGATGAAAACGTAACGAAACAAAAGCTATAATTTCAGACTGTCATCGAAGGCAGCACAACAGATCGATAGATAGATAGATAGATAGATAGATAGATAGATAGATAGATAGATAGATAGATAGATAGATAGATAGATAGATAGATATTCATTTGTGTGAGAAAAGTTATTACCTTCCCTTAAGGCAACACCAGACTTGTACAGTATTTGTAATTAAACAACTACCGTGTGAAGAAAGACAACGATTCAAACTGTCCCTGAAGCTGACACAAAGTCTGCCTTAGATATAAAATGAAAGTAAAAGGTTCGTCGTCAAAGGAAATTTACAATTTTATACCCCCTTGACCTGGTAGAATGTTAGCTGATACTTGCAGGCAACATAACGAAAGAATTATTGGGTGACTTTATACGGTTTGTGATTTCTGACGGTACTTGAAGGCGACACCTGATTTGACGAAACAACTTTCTTGATGTGTTCTGGCTGCTCTACAGGATTGCACCGATGTTTTCCACGGCTCAGCAGATGCTGCAGGACAGCCGCTCCAAGATGAAGCTTCTCCGGCTGCACCTCATCAAAGTGGCGCAGGCCGGAACCGGCCAAGACGACCAGGAAGCAAACATCGCGGCGCACCAAGGTCCGCTTCGAAATATGACAAACTTCTCTGAGCATGCAGGTATTTAGTTCCATCCGTCCTAAAATGTTCAAGATTGCGGCTGGACGACATGACGGGAAAGTATATCACAATATAAGTATTTGAAAATAAGGACCCAGAGAAATAAAGTTGAATTCAGGTTATTTGATTTTAACATAGAGAATTTAATAATTAATAAGAGGCCAAGACGACTCCGAAAAGTCAATCAAAAGATGAAATAAACGCCTTTTTAAGCATATTGTGCTGAGTTGGGCTGCGCGATGTGGATGAAAAAATGTTCCACAATGTAAACTTTTCATCCATCCAACCATTTCCTGAACAGGGTCGCGGCGGGTGCTGGAACCTCTTCCAGCAATGCATGTTTGTTCAACCAAGAACGTTGCGTCACCAAAGAGAGCAAGCCATTTTCAACCATTTCGCTTCATCAATAATTTGTAAAAAAAATAAATAAATAAATAAAACCCACACGTGTGGACTGACCAATAGAATAGATTTGTGAAAAAAATTGAAATTTCCCAAAATCTGACATAAAAGGTTTCGGCCCGGTGCTAGTGATATTATATATGTAGGTATACATATTATGTATACCTTCATATGACTATTCGGGAACTAGCCTGTTAGCATACGAGAACAATAGAATACCATCAATGTAAACAAATTGTTAACAACTAGCTTGTTCGCATATTCGCATAGTATCCTGCTAGAATGCTAGTTTGTTGGCATCCGAGTATAGGGTCCGCTAACTCATCGGTGTCAAGCTCAAGGCCCGGGGGCCAGATGTGGCCTGTGACTTCATTTTATGTGGCCCACGTAAGCAAATCTAACAGTTCAACTTCCATGACGCTTGCTAAAATCTGTCCCCAAATTTAAACTTGTCATGCGTAATAAATAAAAATGTTGGGATATTGCAATTTTCTTCTCATGTTATGGCAGTAACCTCAACAAGAGTTGAATGAACTACTACCCTTGACTTTAGTTATCCATTAATTGTGTGCTGTATGTGTAATAATTCGAGGAGGTGATGAAACATTTATCCGGTTTCACAGTCAAAATGGCCCTCGGGGGAAAATGTGACCACAATGCGGCCCGCGACAAAAATGAATTCGACACCCCTGTTTTCATACTGTTGTCATCCATCAGTCGCCTGACTTTGAGTGCAGTTGGGCTGCGTTGAAGCGCAACACGTCTTTGTGGCTCCTTCTTCAGGAACGTCCGAAGCGGACGTCCGCCTGGCTGAGCTGCATCACTACACGCAACGCGAGCACGATGCCCTGCGGCTGGCCGAGGACGTGCTGGCGCAAATGGACGGCGTGTCGTCGCCGGAGCGCGAGGCTCGCTCGGAGGTACGGTTCAGGTGCTCGGTTGTCGGCGGCACATCACCGTCGGTGTCTTTCGACAACAGGCTGAGAACCGCCGCAACCATTCGTCCCAGCGTTTGCGTCTCCTGCGGGCATCCGTGGAGGCGTGTCTGAGGGATGACAAGAGGGCCACGCCCTTGAGGACCGACGCCCACTCGGACCAAGGTCGGTGCTCGGCGGCCATCTTGTCCAGCCGACCGGCCTCGCTGACAGGTGGGAACTCACATTGCAGCATTAAAAAAAAAAACAACAACAAAAAAAAAACATTACTGTAGAAATGTTGGATCAAACATGAAAACTTTAAAAACATGGAAAAAATATGTTTTAAAAACCCAACCTAAAAATATGAAATAATAAAAACAACAAAATGATAAAATAATAAACACAATATTCAATACATATTTTTGAAATGACAAAATAATAAGATAAGAATATTAAATAATAAAAAAAAAACAACACAACTAAATTGGATAGTAAAAACAAAAAATGTATACCATGTAAACATTTGTGAAAAAGTAAAATAAAAACATACTAATACAATAGTATAAAAACATCAAATATTGTAAAACAATTAAGTAAAACAACCACAACACAATATAAACAATATGAAATACTTATAATGATATAAACCTGACAAAACAATTTGAAAAATTAAAACAAAAACTGTTTCTACAAAATAATAAATTGAATTGTCCAAACATAAAAAGACGTTGAAAAAAATGAAAATGGAACTACTAAATTAAATTATGAAAACTATACAATGATGAAAAACATGGTATTAAAAAAAGACAATCGAAAGTAAATGGTGGATTTGTAATCTTTCTTCCACATGGGTTGTAACATATAAGATGTGTATGCTTTATTTAATGTTACTATTTGACACATTTTTGATAGTACATCCGCTATGACAGGAAGACGCTGTTGTACGGACTGCATATGAACAAAGTGAGAGGACTTGTGTCATCTTGTCCGACCAATCAGCCGCCAGCCGCTGATGATGTAACGGGGGGGGGACAAATCCTTGTTTCTGGCACCTCATCGGGAGCACAGCATGTTTCTGTATCTGCACTATCTAGCTGTGATGAGGAGGAGCAAAGCTTTTACTTTGAAATATGTCAATATTTTGTTGTTGTTTTTTTTTTTTTCAAATATGATCTCATTTGGTCTTCATTTCCTGTTTTTGTTTTTTTTTTTTTGTTTTCCCCCAGGGAGGTTGGAGGTCAGATTGCTGGGATGTGAAGATTTGTTTTCTCCAGCTGATCACACAACTTCTGGTGAGACGTTTTATGAATATAAATGAGTTTGATATTTATTTCTTCCTTTTCAGGCACCTGAGATTCGATGAAGATGTTTTAGAGCTGCAATGAAATTGTTGAAGGACGACCTTTTAAATTCCAGTGTTGACCTTAATTGTGTAATATGTAAATTTTTAATTTGGACAACATCAGAATTTATTTTCGCACCATTGTGTCTTTTTTTCCTCTGTAAAAATTCAACCTAATTCGTGTGATACATCGTGATTGATTTCCCCCTTCGAAAATGTCAATTATTTTGAACTTGCTATGCTAAGAATGACTTTTCTGGTAAGATTGCTTTCTATATAACGTGGCATTTTGTTAAAGAATTTTTGTTGAACATTTTGTTGCCTCATGCCAACCTAAAATGTCAATCTCCGTCGACGACTTAACGGATGTGAGCAGAGCTGTTGCGCTCATTGGCACACATAGAAACGGCATACAACAATCCTCACGGGCTCCACGGAAACAGCGAGTAGTGTTGTTGGGGACCTTCTCTGTCTCTCCTTCTTGCTCTTCATTTTGCTGCACGTCCTCCAGTTGAGGTCGCCGGACGCCCGGCACATTGCGACACCACGCAAAAACGATGACCTGCGACGGGACGGACGGGACCGCGCTAGACTTACTGAGCTTGACCGATGCGCCCTTCTTCTCGCAGAGACGAGCGCCACCTTGAGGCTGGACGGCAGAGTGGTGGGCCGCACGCGCTGGGCGGCGCTGGGCCGCCTGACCTGGGATCAAACCTTCTGCCTCGCGCTGGAGCGGGTGAGGCCACGTGCGCCGCTGCCTCTTGACAAGGCACACTCAACCACCCAAATGTGTGAACTTTTCAGGCTATGCACTTTCTTATTCATGAGCGTTTGAACCGTGTGTTGACGGCGCAGTGTCGCGAGTTGGAGGTTGACGTGTTTTGGCGCGACGGCGGTAAAATGTGCGCGCTCGGCTTCCTGCGTCTGGACCGGCTTCTGGGCCGGCAGAACCAGAACCGGGGAGACCAAGACAACGGCCACGCCGCCTCCCACGTGTGGCGTCTGGAACCCAGGGGCCTCCTTCACGCTCAGGTAACGTCACGCTTGCAGCTGTGCAACTTTTGGAGGATCCGCTTGGCATTTCCAGATTTGAGTTTCAGCAACTTTTGGGGATTCAAACCTCAAAGTTACGCGACTTAAATCCCCCACGATTGAAAACATGGCCACCGCAGAAGCTGACTATGAATGTGTGGAGATCGCCACGTGTGTTCTGCTGGCCCAACGCTTTCATCAGAGGACAAGCGCCCGATGGTGGCAACCGACCTCCGAACCGGCAGCAGTTGGTCAAGTTCAAGCTGCTGATTGTCATTACCAGTTGAGGTTTACTGTCAAACGAAACCAAGAGGATTACACGTTCAACCAATTCACACTTTGTCCTACGAAAGTCCGCCAGCTTAATGCGAACACACAATGTGAAACGCCATCGACCGGATAACAAGACGAGCATCGGTGCTGCGGTATCGGAGCACTTTTAGCTTCAAGTCTTTGAAGACAAATGATGCAACATTTCAATGTTACTGCTCTCTTGACACACATTCAATCCCCCCCCCCCCCGCTGCCATGTTTTAAAAGCACAAATGTTCGTAAAAGTTGTTCCTGATTAATTGTGCTTCAAGTTTGACTTCGTGGACACAGTGGTGGAGCGACAGCACAAACTGCAACGCCAGCGATGCATCTTCACCAAAGAGAGAGGTAAACACACAAACGCGCGCGTGCACACACAAAGCAATGTCATTTGAAAATGGCTACATACAGGATGTATTCCAGATTCTTAAAAATATTTTTCCATTTACAGGACATTTGTGTCAATATATAAAGGATGTGTATTTTTCTTTTTACACAAAATTGCAGAAATGTAAATTAAAAAAATATTTTTGTATAAACACACACACACACACATAAGTGACATAATTGTGTGTGTGTGTGTGTGTGTGTGTGTGTGTGTGTGTGTGTGTGT